ACCTCAACATATAACAGCTGTACGTTCTGCTCTTTCCTTTTTCATATTTGTCCTTTTCACTGCTCCCTAATGGCTCTGATCAGTCGTCTTTTCTCTTTCTACAGGTCCGGCGCCTGGTTGGCTTGTTGTCAGAGGTGGAACCGAAACTGGCAGACATTATAACAAAGGACTTTTCCATTTCATCCAACGTGTCAAGCTGAACTCGGCTGGACAAATCCAAAGAGTTCTTTAGCTCCAAGTTCTCAGACCTAAAAGACTGGAGACGATTCTTATATCCTTGTGAACGGACCTATCCATGGTTTAGATATTCATAGTAAAATGTTTAAATTGTGTATATTATTGTTTTGTTTGTATACACGGACATCTCGATTTAGTAAACATAACCTGTTTTGTACGTGTCCTGAAATAATCATTTTTATTACATTTTTTTATTTTAGTGAATTTCCATTCAATTCACACTAAAAGATTTCACATATTCCCGAAAGCTCACTCAAAGCTTTTAACACTAACTTCCAGCACACGATAGCGATCATGACGTGTTTTTTTACGCACACTCGTCTCCGTACGCTCGTGTTTACTGATGTTCCCTGCTCAAAACCCCCTTCAGGTGGCCCTCAAACGTGCGCGGTTGTGATCGCCTCCCTCATTTGCTTTCCAAATAGCCAGTGCCATCAGAACGAGGAGAAAGGGACTACTGCGCACTTCCCGCGTGTGTGTGACGCCAGCAGGAATATAGCAGCTCTTTAATTAAGAGTTGGGATTGATATGCAGAGCGCGCCGCATTCTTATGGAAATGTGGCGTGTAGGAGGAGGACCTGAGCTGCGATCTCGACATGGACTGAATGGAAAGGAGACGGAGGGCTAATTTTAACCATGTATGCGTGATTCCGAGCCCCTGGCTTTTGTTGTTTTTGAGGGAATCTTAAGTTGGCCTGAAAAGGCCAGATGCACTGATATACAAGGACTTTTGATTGACATGTCTGTTTCGAGCTTCACCTGAGGCAGATCTGACAAACCTCGGGGTGAAGAAGCACTTGGGTTGGTTTGATCCAGACCGCTGCATGTATGAGTGAACGCTCAACTTATACGAGTTGACGGAGGGCTGGTTTTGACGGAAGCGGTGCTGTTCAAGTAGAAGTGAAAACGTAAAAGATGATTGACAATCATCAAAGTTTTGATGACGTGCAAAATGACCTAAAATGGCAAAACTGCTTCCACAGTGCACACTAACTACCGGTAGCCTACTATGAGTAGATGTGTGTAATGGCCTGTGAAAATATACATTTGGGCCCAGTTTAAACCTCGTATTAAAATGCGTTTTGGTTAAATGAGGAAGACATTCCCGTTTACACCTGGTGTTTTAATGTGTCTCTTTTGTCCACTTTTGACCACTTCCGTCCTGATTTCTTGAGGGGAGGGTCTATGGGTGGGTAAATGTATGGGTTTTCGATAGAGCCTGAACGATTTATCGGCAGGCCGATATTGGGCATTTTCCAAACTATCGGTATCGGCAGTTATAATGGCCGATAAATGAATATTTCAAAAATAAAATAAAATGTTCCTCTGTTGTGACAAAAAAAAAATGCATTATCATCATTATTTTAGTTAAAACTCATAAATAACTACAATTAACTAATGTTAGGGAAATCTGTCAATGTTTTGTTGCCCGTTTCTGGAAAAAAAAATATATCGGCCGACAATATCGGATTTTAAAACCAACAAATATTTGTATCGGTATCGGCCTTCAAAATCTTTTAGCTCTAGTTTTCGATCTAAGTAAGCTTGCACAATTTACATGTAAACGCAAAAAGAGATGGCGGAAAAACATACGGAGAGTCGCAGATTTTGTTTCAGTCGCAAGACCAGCTGAACGCTGTGAGTGTGTGTTAGAAATTAGGAATGGTGAGAGAACATTGTGCTTGGTACATTTTTCATCTTTAAACCAAGATTTGAAGACTGAAAGTGGACATGCTCAAATAATTTACACCGCTTGTGATCGGATTGATGCAAACGCTTCTTAATACCAAGTAAAAATGGCTTTTTTATGGCTCTCTTTAAATGCGCACAAAACCCGAACCTCAAATGTGTCGCATTCAACAACTGAGCAATTTTATTTATGCATCAAGCAGAAACACTTTTAAGGGGGTGGAAAAGGAGTTTTAAATAAAATAATTTGGGGGAAAAATAATAATTTGGAGAAAAAGTCGACATCATTTACTTGCAGGTGCCGTTTCGTGTGATCATTTTTTTTTATTTGCTATTTTATTGTTCAAAAGTTTGGGGGTTAGTATGATTTTTGTTCTTTGGATGCATAAAATTGATCAAAAGTGACAGTAAAGACAAAATATATTCTCTATTTCAAGTAAATATTGTTACAATAATTTTACTTCAGCATAAGAGAATCAATTCAAAGACATTAATTAAACATCTTTAAAAGCCCAAACTTTTGAAAGGTAGAATACATTTTTACAGTGAACATGACATCATTCATTGGTGCATGTTTTTCCATTTTGTTGTCTTTATGACCTTTCATCAAAAAACCACTATCAAACAGAATCACTATCAAACATTTTGGCACGTAACCTGTTTTAATTTGGTTGTATAAAAAATCTATTTTGTAATTTGATTGGGGCAACTGCATAAATACAGCTAACATCACTGATCGCAAAGAACCCTAGTCAACCATGGTCATTATTTAGTGGTAGCCGCTTTATTATGGTTCATATAAATTCAGTGGCGTCTTTACGATTGATTACCTCAGAAATTCCGTGTGAATAGACAACTGCATTAGGTGAGAACTCGACAAAGCATGTCATTAAACATGAATGAGAGTCACGTGACCAACCAAACGTCGCCATTGTGCACTCTGGCACGTATACGTCTCATTTTTCACTCGTTCGTCCAGCTGCGTGTGCGTTCAGAGCCTCTCATCTGAGCCTCCTTCAGCTGCTGTTTATCTCTCCTGTCAACAGCAGCACAATGAAACTTTCTTTCGGTTCACTCTGGTTTTCCCAAAATAACTCTGATGCCATCTCATAGGCTACTTGATGGTCTGTCCCAACTGTCTAAAAATACAGTCTGTTATTATTTACTCACCCTCGTGTCGTTCCAAACCTATATGATGCTTTAGAATATATTTTGAGGAATGTATATTTTGAGGAAATCTTTCAATACAAGGACCACAAGGTTATAGAGAGAACAGCTTTCAAACTCAAAAAATGATTGAAAAAACGACTCATAAACAAAAAGTACCATAACTGTAGTCCATTGTCGGCTCATGCTAAATTCCAAATCTTTTAAAGCCATTTATGTGTGAAGAGCAGAAAAAATAATTAAATTATATTATAATTAATATAAATAATGAATATATAATTAATAATTATTTATTTAATGAATTAAATTAATTATAAGTTATTAAAAATTAATTATTGTTATTCACTGCTAATCTCAATTGTTTTTGCATTCGGATTAAGAAATGATGTATTGACGTCTCACACCCAGCACTAAACTAAATTTTGGTTAAATGAAACTCAATTAAACCAACCCTCTTTTATGTTTTTTAAGGTGTTTTTCAAAAATGTATTCTTTTATATACTTGAATGTCACTGGGAACACTTTTTTAATGTGTTTTTTTTTTTTACTATATTATTGATTCATACACACACACACAAACATATATATATGTGTGTGTGTGTGTTGTATTGTGTTATTTATAATATTTTTTTATTACACACACACACACACACACACACACACACATATATATATATATATATATATATACACATAGTTGTGTTTAGTATTAGTGTTACATTTTACTAATATATCACTGAAGCATATGTTGATGTACTGTGATAGATTGAACTTTATATTTAAACAAAATGTAAAAACCTATTTTAATCGTTCTTTTTTTAATCTCTTTCTTGCCATGAATATAGCTGGGGTAGCTAGCATGGCGTTAAACTATAAATAAACAATGTGATACATTATTTAGATATTTATTAAATTAATTACTTAAGTTTCCAACTAAATAATGACATAACTTGTTTTGTCGTGTTTGAAGTGGTTGCTTTAACACCATCCTCCCATTTCTATCTTTCTGTTTGCCTTTAAACTTGTTTATCTTGTACCTGACATGATAAGAAGTGTACAGAGGGAAGTGTCTTTTCAGTGTAAGGAAGCATTCAGGAACATTTTGATGTCTATCAGTAATGACAGCCCGTCTGCAAGAACGGAAACAGGGTCTGGTGAACTTGCGACCCTTCTAGCCTTTGAAATGTCAGAGTTGAGTGATTTCTCAGCCAGAACTTGACAGCCATTTAAAAGAAAAGTTCACACTGAATTTGCAGGCATGTTTGTGTGTGTATGATGTAACCAATGTCAGCCGATAGCATATGTTTTGTGTTTGTTCTGTCAGAGGTGGAGCTCTTCAAAATTATACTCTTCCAACACCAATGACGCACAAATGACTCGGTGTACGTGAATATAACTTGCTTGTGTACACATGATTTTGTTTGTCCTGAAAGTGCACTAGTAAAACTTTCAGTCATGGTGCTCAGTGCAAGCGCATTTATAATGTCCTGAATATTCTTGCTTCATAATTGTTGATTTAACTCATGTTCCTATTGTCCATGCCATACAGCAGGCCACTGGCAACTCATTTATAATGCAAAGCAGCTTTTCGCATAGAGCAGATGCCGTGGTCCAGTTCCTGGTGGAATCGCTTGGGAGTTTGCTTACCAGCTCAAGTCAAAACAGTTGTAATGTTGTTCATGAGAATTAATGGTTCTTTATAGGCATCAATGAAGAACAAAATATTTTTATAGTGGAAAAATGATCTTTAGATTCTTAGAATGTTCTTCAAATTAAAAAAATTATATGAACTCTTCAGTGAAAGGTTTTTAAGAAAACCAACAATGGTTCTTCAATGGAATCACTTCTAAAACCTCTGTTTGTTTGGAATCTTTTTTTTTTTTTGTATGATCCAATGATTACCACGCTCCAGTAATGTGTTTGTGTGTGTATTGTGTCCTCATGTGCACCGTGGAGTTGGTATCATAATTAAGATTAAGGCGGATCGCCAAGCTCAGGTATCACAAGTGTAAATCCCTTGATTGAATTGAACAGATGGGCCAGGTTATCAGTGAGGGGTCTGTTTAGGACGGACATGTTCTCTGTGCCACCTGCTAAGAGTACTCACCCACTTTTACTTCTCTACGCCTTCCTCTCTCTCTCACACACACTGTTGTGAAGTGGATTCTAATGATCTGCCTCGTCAAGGGATCCCAGAACATTTTCTGCAAACATTGTAAATGTATAATTGAATAAATTATATATTTATAATGAAATAAAAACATTTATAATGGTTGTTTACATTTGTTATTGTTGAAATGTTATGCGCTTTGTGAGTTGATGTAATTTAACGCCATCTATCTTGACGCTTGTAGATCTGCTCTGGCTGTTCAGACTTGCTCTAAACTTATATTCTGAATTATTTTCAGGGAAATGCACAGTTAAAGTAGTTCCAGGCAGGTCTTGACCGCATTACAGTTCCAATATCACTTCGCCAAATTACTTCAGTTATTTCAACAGATTACAACACCTGAAAAAAACAAAAAACCCACAATGGGATTGACCAAGCAAATAAGTATAGTAAACAATGGGATACAATATTTGCCACAAAAGTAAAAGCACCCACTCACCCACTCAAGCCCACACACATACAGCACGGACACACACTTGCACAGAAACGTGACAATGTGTAGTCAGCGCTGCTTTGACGACTTTTTCAGTAAAATAGTAGCGTTATACCAACGTAAAACTACATGAAATTGCTCCCTAGCGAGTTAACGGCTACAGGTTACAGTTGGTTACAGTTTTTCTATTTATATAGACTGCTGTTGAACACTTTTGAGAGACTGAGGTAACGTTAATGGGTGATTCTTCAACTATGGTACTCTTTGAGCTAGACAGTTTCAGAAAATAAAAACATGTCTACAAACAGTTTTTTAGTATCAGTTGGTTTCTCAATCTGTCTCGAAACCTTCCCTTAAGTTGGCTGCGATGATTTGTTTTGAATAATAAATATATATTGGCATTTTTATCTGACAGCCCAAGAAAACGGTAATTTCCATCACAAAGTAAAAACGTGTTTTGAAGGGAAACTAATTAAATATCTTCTGTAATAAATATATTTGATTAAATAGCTCACACATCTCTGATCAAATTTGCAATTTATTTATTTTTCAGAAATGTAACTGTAAAGATTTTACATTGTTGTTTACACTAAAAACACCTAAAACCAGATCGCTGGAACATTTATTTTACTTATCATAGCTCAAAATCATGTATTTCTTAAAGTGTATACATATATCTTATACCATAACTGCTCAATTACCAACACCACCGAATATAGTTGGTTTGATTGTATGTTTTTTATATAAGTTTTACTTTAAAATATGTGTTGTGGTGGAAATGACACGTGGCGGAAGAGACAGCGTGTGGCGGAAATGACATATAGGCAACTTCCAATTAAAAACTCTTTTTCTACTGCTCTATGTGGTGAACCAAAGCAAATCAATAAGCAACAGTATTGGTAAACAAAAACATATAAATATTTTTAAATGAAAAATAATCCAAAAAATAAAAAAAACATGAATATGTGTTAAAAAATCTTATCAAACTTATCTATTGTTCGCTTATTTACCCACAATATTGTAGCAATAATAAATAATAAAATATTTCTTACTACCTTAACTTAATTAATTGTATGTTTTTTGTTTTTACATTAACCTTTTAGTATTATAGCTCAAAATAATTTGTTGTTTAGCACGAACAATGTCATTTCCACCACAACCTGTCTTTACCACCACAATGAACACCGTGGTGGAAATGACATTTCCCCCCTTTCCTTCTAAAATATCATGAAATGTTAGCCTGTTAATATTAGTTTTACAGTTAGCATTAAATATACACAAATTACACATTATTAACTTGATTTTATCCAGTTATTTTGTGAAATATTAGCCATTTGGAAATGACGGCCAATAATCATATTCTCAGTTTTAGTCATATTTACCTTGATTTTTCTTCTTTTCGTTACCCCCTAAAGAGGTCAACCTTTCACCCAGCCATGTGTTCACTGTGGAGTTTCTATTGCTATGGTTACTAAGTATTCAAACCTAAAACAATGATCCCAGGATTCTATTTTGTACAGTGTGGCGGAAATGACAGTGAACCCGAGGGACAAGGGTTCTACATATGAAAAATATAAGAAAATGTGAATAAATATTGCAATATATAATATGTATAATTGAAATAGACATTATTTTATAATTTGTACTTAAAATCTACAATATTTAATTATTTTATTTAGAATTAAGCGAGGTTGAAGGTACAAAGTCTGGCTTAGGGACAGGGGGAAATCATGCATAAAAGGCCTCATATTATATAATAAAAGGAATGATTGAGCCATGATAAATTTTTTATAAGTTCCCCTCAGGGTGAAGTAAGTCTGACAAAAACAAAAAAGAAGAAATGTTTTTTTTAGATTTTATTATTTCATCCAGGGACAAGAAAACTACCATAGTTAAAGAATTACCCTAATTCACACACTTAATCTCTCTCTCTCTCTCTCTCTCTCTCTCTCTCTCTCTCTCTCAAAGGACAAATGTCTTCAAATACAACATCTGCATTATGTTTTAAGGTGTGGTAACCGTAGGTAAGCAGAAAAAAATAACTCTGGTCCCTTGAATTATTGGAAAATAATGCACACACGAGGTTGTAATGTTAAACCTGCATTTTCAACGACCTGTTGTCAATTAATCCTTACATATGGTCATTTCCGAGTGAGCTTTAATGAGATGTGTGAGTACCGTTGAGCATTCGTTCTCCATTGCTGCTAAGAGTCTCTTCAGAACAAACATCACAAAAGAGAGGCTGCATAATGTAAGCCAACTGCTTCCTTTAATTAACCCGAGCTCGCTTTGTGTGGGGAGAGTGAGAGAGAGACTGACTCATCATGTTTAAATATCAATTCTTACATGAATATACTTCATCTAACTAATCTACTCCAAACCAATATGGCCAGACAGAACATCTCCAGCACGGCTCTTTAAAACTCTCTGCCTACTTGAGCTCTTGTTTCAGTCCCACACGTGCCCTGAATAGACGTCAGCTTCTCTTATTATCTCATAAATTAAGTTTTACCACTGAAAAGACTGTACAAAGATTCCCTTTTATGTTGCCTAATGTTCACATTTCTGGCCATAATGTCAAGGGAACAGACTAAAAGATGTTCAAAGGCTCATGGGACTCCTGGCCGTGACAGTATCTGTGTCGTCTCCAGATCTCTGAGCTCAGGCTTTGATCCACCAGCGCTCCTCAACTCCCTCCCTCCCCAACCCCTGCCAAACGCCTGTGCTGTTGATAGGAGTTTGTTTGTCTTCCGCCAGGTGGGTTTTCCTCAATTTACACACTGTCTACACCTCAAACTCTGACATGTGAGACATCACAGCTTCTAGATGCAAGAACACTGAGTGAGGAATTATGTAATAATTATTTTTAACCTACCCATGTACAGAAACATGTTTGTGTCAAGGTGTGGTTACACTACTTGGGTCTCCCATCCATAAATCCATCTTTCCTTCCATCCACATACATGAAATCTATCCATCATCCCTCTTTCCTTCCATCCATCCACAATCATAAAATCCATCCTTCCATCCATCGGTCCATCCACATACATAAAATCCATCTTTCCATCCATCCACAATCATAAAATCCATCCATCCTTCCATCCATCGGTCCATCCACATACATAAAATCCATCTTTCCATCCATCCACAATCATAAAATCCTTCCATCCTTCCATCCATCCATCGATCCACATACATATAATCCATCTTTCCATCCATCCACATACATGAAATCTATCCATCCATCCTTCTTTCCTTCCATCCATCCATCCATCCATATAAAATCCATCTTTCCATCCATCCATCCACATACATAAAATCTATCCATTCATTCTTCTTTCCTTTCATCCATCCATCCATATAAAATCCATCTTTCCATCCGTCCATCCACATACATGAAATCTATCCATCCATTCTTCTTTCCTTTCATCCATCCACAATCATAAAATCCATCCATCCATCCACATACATAAAATCCATCCTTCCATCCATCGATCGATCCACATATATAATCCATCTTTCCATCCATCCACATACATGAAATCTATCCATCCATCCTTCTTTCCTTCCATCCATCCATCCATATAAAATCCATATTTCCATCCATCCATCCACATACATGAAATCTATCCATCCATTCTTCTTTCCTTTCATCCATCCACATACATAAAATCCATCCATCCTTCCATCCGTCAATCCACAATCATAAAATCCATCCATCCATCCACATACATAAAATCCATCCATCCTTCCATCCGTCAATCCACATACATAAAATCCATCCATCCATCCTTCCATCCATCGATCCATCCACATACATAAAATCCATCCATCCTTCCTTCCATCCATTCATCAATCCACATTGCCAACCCGATCTCACGACCAAGTCGTACGAATTCGACAAATGATTAAAAAGTGGCTAAATCGTAACAATTCATACGACCTCACTCGTACGAATTAGTACGATTTTGCTAAATCGTACATATTTTACGAATTGGCCAACTCATATGAATTCATACTAACCATGAACGCCCCTAACCTAACCATCACGTGGGTTTATAGTGTTATAATAGCGAATAGTGTTGCAACACATGCATAAAATCCATCCATCCATCCATCCATCCATCCATCCATCCATCCACATATATAAAATCATTCCATCCATCCATATACACAACACAAGAATTAAAAACAAATAGCAGGATATCATATCATGTTGTCCACATTTGTTGCAGAAACCAAAGTTATTTCACATACATAAAGCCTAGTGTGAACGCACCTCACAATGTTGATTTGACAAAATGTAAAGATTTCCTGCATTTCATAAGTCAATATTTGTTGTATTGTCATAGTCAAGTCACCTTTATATAGCGCTTTATTCAGTACAGATTGTTTCAAAGCAGCTTTACAGTGATAACAGGATAACAATGTTATAGTTATAGTTATGCTATAGTTTCATTATTGATCATTTAGTCTCATAAATCATATATATATATATATATATATATATATATATATAATTATATATATATTAATATATAATAATATATAATATATATATATATAATATAAATAATGATAAATGATATAAATAAAAACATTATTACAAGCATACCGCTTTGAATCGAGCTAAGGCAAGCAGATAGTGTTGAACACTGGCTGGTTATGTATTTTCTCAAATATGTATTTTGCATATTTTTTAACCCAAACAAAGCTTTCAAGTAAGGTTAACTTATTCGATTTTTCTCGCGCAGCAAATCAGCCTATTATGATTTGAGAAGGATCACGTGACACTGAAGACTGGAGTAACGATGCTGAAAATTCAGCTTTACCATCACAAGATAAATTACATTTTAACATTTGTTCAAATTAGAAAATAGTTATTTGAAACTGTAATAATATTTCACAATATTGCTGTTTTTGCTGTATTTCTGATCAAATAAATGCAGCCTTGGTGAACATGAGACTTCTTACTGACTGCAAACGTTTAAACAGTTATTCTGCTGAAATGCTTGGTGTTTTTGTTTGAATGAAAACATCCAATATTATATATTCAGAATTCAGAATTCAATATTGTTGCTATTTTAATATGGTGCTGAAAATGACCCAGTTCAGGAGTTATTGTATAAGAAAAATGCATTGACTGTGGTGTATGTTAAAAGTATAATAATTTACAATTTTACAATATTTATTAAATGGTTTAATATGAATTAAAAACCACTAACTAGCACATGCTTTATATGTGTTGTCTAAATTTTAGATATTAGATAAATAAACGGTTGTTTGGTGTAGTATCATAATGTGCATCCGTTAAATTGACAGGCTTATGCTCTTATAATATTTGCTTTTTCAGATTTCAGGACAGACTTTTTGCTCTCCTGTAGACGTTTTTGTTCCAGTGAGGCGGTATCTCCTCACAAACAGATCTTTTTTAGTGTGTGCAGAACGTCAAAGAGAATATGAAAAGGTACATCTCTCGTATGAATATCCCCATGACGTGAGAAGCTGCTCATTTTCCATTTGCTGTCAGGAGGACGATTAACTCTCCACCCCTCCTCTCCCTTTTCAGGTCCTCATAAATACCAAATCGCACAGTCTCAATGCAGTACAACACTCGTGGCACATACGACTGACAAGCTCGTTTAAATAATAAAAAAACACCAGCATGTACTCAACTAAAAGCGAGGGACCGCGCAGAGGAAGATCTTTTGACTCCATGAACCTTGGTCTGACTTTGGAAGAGAAGCAACTTAACAATGAGGTAAGTGCTTTTTCCTCATCAATTGGTCAATTTGCATACTTTTTAAAATGATATTATCTACTCGGGTGAGAATTCAAGTTCTCAACAGGTGAGGGACTGCAGTTTCTACACAAAATAATGCCAAATTTAGATTTCTAGGAAGCATAGAGCATGGAGGAAACCGTGATGCGACTAAGCTCTCCGATTAGTTTTATGCCTAACATATCCATGTTTGACGCTGTTAGCAATGACTCTATCCAATCATCCATGCATCAAATTAAGTACACTTAACAGAGATGTGCGTGGAAGAGTGATTAATTGCAGCCTAATCCCAGTGTTAGATTAAAACAAGAGGGCGCTAATAATAGGCTTCCTCGCTCTCCAAATGAGATTGTTTTAAGACGACAGACACTGGTTTGTCTTTGTTGAAGCGAGACGGTGAATCGCAAGACTCTGAGCCCTGCCACGGTCAATGCACTAATGCTGTCTGGGATCCTGCTGACGGGAAGACGAGGACAGGGGCGATTACTCTGCCACATGCGTGATAAAAGAAACATGGTCAGTAGATGACTGGCTTTGGGGGTCGCTTAAAACTACTAGTTTGTAGGTTAAAATTAGTAACACTTTAGGTAATATTAGTTCGTTTACAGTATTTACTAACATGAGGTAACAATGAGCAGTATTTATTCATCTTTGTTAATGTTAGCTCATAAAAAACAGCCGTTTATTGTGTGTTCATGTTAGTTCAGAGCGCATTCACTAATGTTAACAAATACAACCTTTGATTTTAATAATGTATTAGTTAATGACATGAATATTGTAAGAGAAATAAATGCTGACAAAATATTGCACATTCTTAGTTCATGTTAATAAGGTAGTTAACTAATGACTAAATAAATTAAAATATAATGAAATAAAAATATATTTAAATTATGCATTTTATTATATTAAATTCAGCATTCTTAAAATGCAATGATGAATTAATAAATGATTAATTTATTTAATACCGTTTAATACTATTTATTTATTTAATAAATATTTTTCTGGATACTTTTGGCATTTATGTTTTTATATATTTATGTATTATGTATTTACTCCGTTGCCATTGAAGGAGCTTGTTTTCTCATGGTGTTAAAATAAACAAAAGAAATTATTTTTAAAAAATAAATAAACTAGTGTATACCAAAAAAAAGAATTTGGTTCATTTGTTTGCATGTGTTTCATACTTCATGGCCTCGATTGATTAACATTTAAGTTTTTGCCTAAAATTTGCCTTTTTTAAGTTTGTCTGGATCCTTTTCTTTTTTCATTGTATCTTGTTGGATTGACGCACCTGTACACTGTAAAAAAAATATTGTTGGGTTAACTTAAAAAAGTAAGTTTGCCTTAAAATTTGTTGATTGAACTGAAAAAAGTGAGTTAATACAATGATGGAGATTAATTTAATCATCAGAAACTCAAAATAATAAGTTATCTCAACTAAATAAATGATTTAAGTTGATTTGACAAAAGAAAAAATGTTTTGATAACAAATCTTGAAAATATTTTGCGTACTTGTGTTTGGTGCTACATTGTCTTCTTATACATCATAAATATTTTCAGTTATTAATACTCACAGTTATCGGTATGATTTCTTGAACCTAATCCCAAGTCTGCAACCTTGGGGAAGGTCTCGTGCGGCGTCCCTCTGTTAGCGCTTATGTTAAGCAGGTCATGACGACGGGCGCTGTCCGCGGTGCTGAACGACGCAGGAACCAGCACCTTTAATCCTGTTTGCAGCTGGACTTTATAGTAGTTAAGGATTAAAAACAAACCCCTCAGCTGACTGAGTAAGCAATGTCTACATTGGTGAATGTGCTTTAAAACGTCAGCAATAGGATGCGGCATCAGTTTACTGTCGGGAATTTGTTGTCACGTCGCACCCTATCTAGTTTAGACAACATCGTTGATAATGGATTTTATTTGCTTTTTTCGCGTCACGTCACGCCAGGACAAGAACAAAAAAATCTGATAATGTACAAAATTGTAAAAACTAATACAATTAAACCTGAGATTTAATTTTTGCCTTTAAAATGACATCCTGCAGTGATAAATTCATTGTTGATTGAGTTGAAACTCAGTCAACTCACTGTATTAAAAAGTGCAAACACTGTAAAATATTACATTTTCCATCGATTTTACTTTGTTTTACTTTCCATCGATTTTATTTTACAGTGTTTGCACTTTTGTAGTGCAAACACTGTATATTCAATAAGCAATATTCAAAACGTTTGAATGAATACAGGGAAAGTTGTATGTGTGCCCTTAACCGTATAGGCCTTCAGGGTCTATATGACCCCAACAATTGATTAATTGTAATTGTAAAAAAATATACATTTTTAATCATACAAATAATATATAATTTTTGTCGTTTACTTCTCATCTATTCATTAATGCTGTGTTTTTGGAGATATGAAGTACTTTTGTATCCATAAACCACACAATTCCTCAACTACACCATTAGCTTGCATATGAAATAAATTTTTTTTTTTGATACATTGCATTTATGCTCTAGTTCTAGGCCTTCATTTCTGTGTAAAAATTTTCAGATTTATGCCAGATATTTTTTTTGACACATGAAGAAAATATATTTAGTTTTTTTCACATTTCCCATTCATTTCAATGTGGGATCATATTGACCCCGAAGACCAGAAGTGTAAACATTTTTTTTTACATACCTTCAGAACAACCGAATCAAGCCCAGTTTTGTGTGTGTGTGTATATAGATAGATAATGTATGAAAAGTCATAAAATCTTATTCCACTGAGATGAAGGGAACAATTTTTTTATTAAGTAAAAGTCGATTGGGGTCGTGTAGACCCCATGACCCGATTGAGGGTTAAGATATTGAGTGTTGTTTATGACACTCTTTCTTTAATCCATATGACCTGATTGACAAGATTTAAAGTAGGCGGATGTTGTTGATGCTACAAATAAACATCAAATCATGTAAAGCAATACATGATTTTGATGACCTATTTCTACCTGACCTAACCAATCTGTTTCACACATGTTTTACAGATGAACAAATCTGCTTTTCCAAAGATCGAAGAGAATAAAGACAACAAAACGGCTTCTACTGAGAGGGGTCGGGCTGCTGTTGTGTTCTCTCTGAAAAATGAAGTCGGTGGGCTCGTCAAGGCACTAAAACTTTTCCAGGTGAAGAGCAGATCGATTTGTTAGGATTTTCTCGCATTCCTTTATTTGATTAAAAACCTTATCCTGTTGTACAATTAACCATCAGTTATAAATCAACAGGAAAACCACGTCAACCTTGTGCACATTGAGTCCAGAAAATCCAAAAGGCGCAACTCTGAGTTTGAGATCTTCGTAGACTGCGATAGTAACCGCGAGCAGCTGCACGAGATCATTCAGTTGCTGAGGAAACACGTGAACGTGCTCGAGATGGACGCTCATGACAACCGCCTGCCAGAAGAAAGCGGTACATGAATTAAATTAATGACACTGTGACTTTTTTTATAACTATAAAAATACTCAATATTTAAATGTTTGTTTGTTTTTTTCAGAGATGGAGAATGTGCCGTGGTTCCCGAAGAAGATTTCAGATCTGGATAAATGTGCGAATCGAGTGCTGATGTACGGATCAGACCTGGACGCGGATCACCCGGTGAGTGCGGCAACGCTAATGTAACGCTAACGCTAATGTAATCATGTCGCTTACTGTTTTGCTTCTGTTTCAAAAGGGATTCAAGGACAATGTATATCGCAAAAGGAGAAAGTACTTTGCAGACTTGGCGATGAGCTACAAATAGTGAGTTTTTAGTAGCTTATTAAAATATATATATATATATATATATATATATATATATATATATATATATATATTAGGGCTGTCAAACGATTAATTGCAATTAATCGCATCCAAAATAAAAGTTTGTGTTTACATAATATATGTGGGTGCACTGTGTATGTATAATTATTTTATATATATAAATACACACACATGCTTGTATATATTTAAGAAATATTTTCTTGTATATACTGTATATAGATTTCTATATAATTTATATTATATATAAATATAAATATTTTATATATGAATAATATTTTTTTCTTAAATATACATGCATGTGTGTGTATTTATATATATACAAAATAATTATACACAGTGCACCCACATATATTATGTAAACACAAACTTTTATTTTGGATGCGATTAATCGCGATTAATCGTTTGTTCAGCCCTAATATATATGTGTGTATGTGTGAGTGTAAACATATATATATATATATATATATATGATAGATAGATACACATATTATATAAACACAAACTTTTATTTTAGAATCGATTAATCAGTTTAGAATCGATTAATCGATTAAGAACCGGTTAATCAATTTAGAGTTGATTAATTGATTTGCCGGTGTTCTGTCGATTTTTGCTGCCTTGTCGAAAAATGCTACCGTAGCGCGAATTGATCACAGAATGCCGATTAAAGTCGTATGAAATACAATTATAATACAATTCTAAGTTATGAGTAGCTACTGTATACTGTAGAAGACTATTTTTACTTTTAAAACGGTGTGAAAAGTAAAAATTATCATAAAATATATTCATCTTTGACTTGTCAAAGTACACCTTTCCTCATAGTAACTGAAAATTTCAGTTATTCTTTTTCAGCTGGCTGACCGTACAAATATTCATATGGTAGTAAGCATTTTTTAAAGGGAAATTATATATTATAACAAGAAAATGTACCTTTTGTAAAAAAAGAAAAAAAAATCTGAGTCTGCACATGCGCAGAACCGGTAAGTAGCAAATCTCGATGGGTAGCATGAATTGTCAGAACACCGGCACTAATTTATTTACAGTATATATATATATATATACTGTATATGAATATCTATCTATCTATCTATCTATCTATCTATCTATCTATCTATCTATCTAGTCTGTCTAAAATACTATGTTTCCACATGAAGTCTAATGTAAGTTTTCCTCTTCCATCAGTGGAGATCCCATTCCCCGTATTGAGTTCACTCAGGAGGAGGTGAAAACATGGGGAGTTGTGTTCAGGGAGCTGAATAAACTCTACCCCTCACACGCCTGCCGCGAGTACCTGAAGAACCTGCCCTTGCTCATCACACACTGTGACTTCCGTGAGGACAACATCCCACAGCTGGAGGATGTCTCGCGCTTCCTCAAAGGTGAGAGAAAGGGATGTCAGTTTAGTCTGCTGGGTTTGTTCAGGAATTATAGACTACTATAACGTTGCTTGATGAACCGTTTTAGAGCGTACTGGCTTCACCATCAGGCCTGTGGCTGGGTATCTCTCCCCACGAGACTTCCTGGCAGGTCTCGCCTTCCGCGTGTTTCACTGCACTCAATATGTCCGACACAGCTCAGACCCCCTCTACACACCCGAGCCGTGAGTACACCAATTATCAAATTGTTTGATAAATACACGCAGGGCCTATAAATGATGATGATATCACCATCACTATAATAAATTCACAGAAAAACTGTGTTATATATTTTTATATTTTAATATATGTATTTACTTATATTTTTTAAGTATAATTTAATGTATATATTATTTATTTTTATGTATATATACAATATTTTATAATGTGAATGCTTGTGTGTAAATAAATTTAAGAACATTTTTATATAATGCCAACACTTAATTTCTATGGTCCACTTTAGACATTGTACTAACTAGGGCTGGGTATCGTAACAAAATTTTCGATACCGATACCGATACCGATACCTTGACTTCGATACAAGTTCCTGAACGATACCTTTTTCGATACCAATTTTATGTAACCAGTTTTAACAATATAATATTACCTACATTTTTATTTTATTTTTCAGTTTGTTGACTTTTTCACACTCATATTTTGAGTATAACGCGTAAACTAGCGATTTTCTGTTGTGAATCGACAACGTTTCAGAAAACAATAGATTTTCTGAAGGGGACCATCAAAACAAAGTATAAAGTATATATACTTATATAAGTATATATATATAGTATATTCAAAATAATGTATATCTTTGTATATATATATATATATATATATAAACTAACACTTTAGTTTAGGGTCCAGTTCTCACTACTAACTAGTTGCTTATTAGCATGCAAATTACTAGGATATTGACTGTTTATTGGTTCTCATAAAGCACATATTAATGATTTATTTTGCATGACCATATTTTACATCCCGCAATCCTTAACATCCACCTTACTAAATATTAATAAGCAGTAATTAGGAGTTTATCGAGGCAAAAGAGGTGGTTCATAGATGGTTAATCGTGAGAATTGGACCCTAATCTAAAGTGTGACCACATAAATATTGTTATATTGAATATGTCTGTCTGTTTTAGAGACACATGTCACGAGCTGCTTGGACACGTTCCTCTATTGGCCGAGCCCAGCTTTGCTCAATTCAGTCAGGAGATTGGTCTCGCGTCACTGGGTGCATCGGATGACTCCATACAGAAACTTGCTACTGTAAGTAATAACAGGCCTTGAGATTTGACCTTTAACCTTTTAGTGAGAGGTGTTTTGGTGTGAGTACATATTTAATAATGCAAAATGAGTATTCATCACTGCCATATTGTGTTTCAGTGTTATTTCTTCACTGTGGAGTTTGGCCTCTGTAAGCAGGAAGGGAAACTAAGAGCGTATGGGGCCGGTCTGCTGTCCTCCATCAGCGAGCTAAAGGTAATGAAACACAAAAGCTTTCTCTACATGATGTGAAGAGCATGATTTTTACCTTATAGAGAGATGAACTATTCCCTTTTCTTCCAGCATGCACTGTCAGGAAATGCCAGGATCTTGCCCTTTGACCCCAACGTGACAAGCAAACAGGAGTGTATCATCACCACGTTTCAGGATGTCTACTTTGTTTCGGACACCTTTGAGGAAGCAAAAGTCAAAATGAGGTGAGTGGGCAATCATAAACAATGAATAATAAATTAAAAAGTAAGTATTAACTGCTTATCTCATCTGAGTATTTAACCCTGTGCTTTTGAAATGAATCTTTTAGAGAGTTTGCAAAGACCATCAAGCGGCCATTCTCGGTACGCTACAACCCGTACACGCAGAGCGTAGACGTTCTGAAGGACACGGCCAGCATCAACAACGTGGTGGAGGAACTAAGACACGAGTTGGACATCATTGGAGATGCACTAAGCAGGCTAAACAAACAGCTAGGAGTCTGAAAAACTACATTTCCCAGCAAATCATCCATTACTTCATGCTCACTTGTTTTGTATACTCTCCAAATAATGTATGGCATGAATTTGTCATGCTGTATATGTCTCTACCAAACGAAGTCAAATCCTCATGTGTCTATTTATATTATTAGTTTGACTCTTGTTTGATTAAATATTTGGCTCAACAAAAGCTGAAGCTCAATGCTTCCAATTGGATTTCTTGTGTTATAAGTGAGATTTCTACTTGATATTTATGCAAGGCGACCACGATGGTTATGGTTGTGCAAAGTTGATGTCGGCTGATTTCAAATTGGCACCTAATGTGTATTTATGAAGAGATATTGTCTGATAAATATTTTAGTATTCTGATTTACTTTATATTTCATTTGTGCACAATATATAGTTGTTTTTTATCATTGTGAGTCTATGAAATATTCAGTATTTTTAGTGTTATTGACAGATAATGTTTCTTGATATAAAATGGATGTCTACGTGGAGTAGGTCCTGAGGGTTTATGTTTATTTATTAAAAATGCATGTAAATGTTGCATTGGAAATCAAATGAAAGAATATTTTTTACAAATGAACTTTAAGTTAATTAACAAGAATGCTTAGCGAATGTCAAGTTTGTCAGTATGAGTATCAGTTCCAAGTTTAAATATAGAGAAATGTATTGCTAAAGATTATATATTCATATGCTTATAACAAAAAAATAAATCATTGTTTTTTACTGTTTCTTCTTTTCTTTCTAGGTTTGTTCTAATGTACGAACAACGCGCGTTGTCGATTCACAACTATGTTTCAAAAGCCGAAATCTCGAGCGAGTGTTATACAAATCTCAGGACATTATTTGTCTTATTAGACATAAGTAAAATCCCTTATTGCTGTAAATTAATTATTTGAGTGCAGTTTACCTAATAAACAAATGGAAAGCGGGCCCAGTTGTATCCGTAAACTTCTGTTTTTAATCGAGCGATTGTGATTGGTTCATCTTGACAAGAGCTGAGTAAAGTAACGGCCGTCACGTGACCTTAACGTTTACTGTTTGGCTCATAGACAGTCAAAGGAGATTTGGCCTTTACCCACAAAGATGATATTTGCACAAAGTTGGGTGTTGTTATATGCTTTTATTATTAACTTTTTTAAATGATTTTTGTAGGCTTCATATGTTTTTTTTTTTTTTTGTTTTTTTTATTAAAAAATCAATTCTTCAGAGGTATGTAGGCAATTTTCTCTTCCCAAGTTACTGTTATTAGCAAAGCCTGTATATAATAAAGTCTTTGTTATTATCCCGTTTTTATATGGTATGACTGAGTGAGTCATTTTAGCACTCTATTATGGTCTATCTATGGTTTTCTGTTATATTGTTGTACTTATTAATTTCCTTGCCTTTGAATAATCCGTTTTGCTACAGTTATGACTTTTTTTTTTTTTTTTTTGTATTTACACAATATATAAAATGAATATAAAATGTTTGTTTTAGAAATAAAATTGTATAATTGTATTGTTGAATTACTTGTATTAATATATAGGCTATATGTAATTATGTATTTTTTAATTTTATATTAAATATAAAAAGTATATCATAGTATTATAATATCATAATTAAAAATATAATCATAGAATATTCATATAATAATTTTAATTGAATTATTACAATTATTATAGTTTAACTATGATCAAATTTAACGATTTTACTTAGTGTACTGTGTATGTGTTTATTTGTTTAAAATATCGAACTTGAATTTAGTTTTTTATATCAAATATAAAACATATTAGTATTTTCATTTTTATACAAACTCGGGTGGCCGGGACATTTGCAATATTTGCAAAGCCAGATATGGTGATGAAAAAAATCCTAAAAAGACAGAGGATTGGATTATGTGCATTGTTTGTGAGGACTATTTCCAAGAGAAGTGTGGCGAGGAGAATGGCCTCATTGAAGACGGGCTGTATTGACATGTAGACTGTACAAAAAAAGAAATTAAATTTGGTCTGTGTGGAATAAATAATTATATACGAAGAAGTGTTCATGAAGATTCCTCTTTTTTTAAATGAAATAAATCAAACCTAATAATTGTGGATAGGTAAGGAAGGGAGGGAAAAAAATAATGTATTATTTTAATTATTATTATTATAATTTAAATATCATAATATATAGCTAGAATATATACAAATAAATAAATGATAAAAAAAAACATATATTATTATCAGTCGATTCAAAAGTAGAATAATATTTTAATAAAATGTGTGACTTATGTGTGCAAAAGTAACTCCCGATCCGATAAACCCCGCCCACTTTGGCTACCCACTGACGTTTCATGATGTCATCAATGTGCGGGTAAATCTGATGGAAGGAACTCAGCTGTCAAAATGTGTACTTTACACGTGGGTAAGTTTTATTTAGCCTACTTTTGACAACGCAAAGCTTACAAACAAGTATTGGTACCAGTCTACATCCTTAAATCCACGAGAATACAGCGAACATGTAACAGTATAAATTAAAATAAGCAGTCTCAAATAAGTATAGCTCACAAAAACAGCGCTTCCTGAGCAATAAATCGTGATTTTGTATCACAGGGAGCGAACAGTTCCGGGCAGCTGGGGCAGGGACACACGGAAGATCAAGCCGAGCCGCGGCGTGCACACGGCGGACTGCAGGCAGAGCAGGTCCGCTGCATAACCGGAGGAGGCGGGCATTCGGCTGTCATCACTGGTTAGCTGGCCTATAACACTATTAAAAATAATAGATATTAATGCTAACACTCTGAAAGGACACGTCGTTCGAATTAGTAAAATAATCCTTTAACTGTTTCAGTATTTGCTGACATTGACATTATATATTTATGGATCAATGGCGCACTCTAGTGGACACTTTGAAGTATGACAACAACATTTCTCCATCCAGAGTCAGGTGACCTGCTGATGTGTGGACACAACAACAAAGGTCAGTTAGGGCTCAGTCACACTTCAGAGGTCATAACCTTTCAACCCTGCCCTTTGTCTGGGTGGGGAAGAGTTCAGCAGGTGTCCTGCGGTTGGGACTTCTCTATTATCCTGACAGGTGAGTGGTTGGGTCGTCAATGCCATACTCGTATTCATATCCTGGAAAAATAAACGAGCATGCCGATATTGCAGACATCAGTAATATTGAGGTTTTTATTAGAACTTTGAGTTGATAAAGTGCACTTAGACCTCCCTGTTGAGACTTCCTCTCGTTGAATTCAGTGCTGAATAACTGTGTCTGTCAGGTGACGGTCAGGTCTTGGTGTGCGGCTCCAATGCTTTTGGACAGCTGGGTGTCTCACCAAGGATATCACACTCAGCAGAACCTTTACATGTGAAGGTGGGAACTGAAAAACATAATGTGACTCTTACTTAATAGTTTTTTATGTGTGAGGATTGTAATAAAGTCATGCTATGTTCTGCTTACAGACACTGAATGAACCTGTGACTAGTGTCGCTGCTGGCCTCAGACATGCTTTAGCAAGCACAGGTATTACTTGTGACTATATCAAATAAATATCAGATCTATGCATTTGATTCAAGTAAATATTATAAATGTATGTATGTGTGGCCGTGTAAATGCGCAGACTATATAAAGCTCAAACACAACCAAACATCTGAAAAGGGGTTCTTTATTTTCGACTGCGTATGAGAAGGACGCAGCGTTAATGTTTGGAGTTTCCACTTGTGGTCAGGAATATAACAAAAAAAACTTATACAATAAATTACAATAGGAAAATACCAAACTTGAAACCTTCCAAACAAAACTCGTCACTTACAGTGTGAGTTACAATGTTCTACAAATGTACAAAGAAACAACTAAAAAAAAAAAAAAAAAATAGCAGTTACACTTCTATTTTTTCCCCTCAAGCGAGTTCTCTTTCACAATACTCAATTGTGTTAATTTTCCCCTTTTAGCTTCTTGCAAATAATTGTATATTCCCGAAAATAAAACAGAATACACAGAAACGGTTTATGTGAGCACTTATACCCCAAATAAACAACGGTAGTGGCCTTTTTTATGTTTTCTGAATAAAGAACAAAACATAAACATGATTAAAGACACATTCTCATACAGTAAGCCACTAACACAATTGTAAGACAAAACAAACATATTCAACACTCTACAATTAACATTACTATACCAATTCTCATCTCTTACAGATTATCAATAAACTTTGACATTACAAACAGTGCAGAGCTAGTGAAATATTTCCTTTGAGTGACTATAAGCATTTACAATAAAAGAATGAACTAAAATGATACCCACTCACTCTGTGAAGCGATACAGCTCACTAGAAAGCCCGCCCCACGGTCATCTCACGTGCACTAACGTCTCTTCGTTCTCCCCTCTGACATAATTTTATCACAGAAACAGAAATATAGTTTATATTTCTCCTCAATAATAACATGAGCTGTAATAATGAGTTCAAATAACATGCTACATTTCTATTAAACAAACACTCACGCTCAATCGTCGTCACTGTGGAAGGTATATGCTCGTCTCACACAGAAATCTCTAGCACTCGGGAGAAACAAAGTTTTCTGGCGATGAATCACTACTCCAACCACTCAACAAACCGAACACCAAATTGGGGGTTTTCACTTTCGCGTAAACGAACAATGTAGATTGGTGTTAGTTTCTAACGTGCCTCAGCTCACGCGTTTTTTTAAAACAAAACTGCGCGTTCCTTCGAGATAGGTCTAACTACTCAGCCGTACCAGGGCGCCCTCTAGGGGTAAGAAGCATGACTACAAGCTATTTTTGCCCTGGTTACATATGTATGTGTATATATATATTATTCAAATATATTAACATATATATTAACATGATATTTTTCTAATTATTATAATTTAAATGTTATACTATGTAATTATTTGTTTTCAAATTACTTTTCAAAAAAATTAAATACTAAAAATAAATATAGATTGTTTTTTATTAAATGTAAGAAATAATTTTATATTTAATTGTAACTTTTATTATTGAATTATTTATATTTACTTATTTTGCTTAGTTGGTATATGTGTATATTTGTTTTAAATACGGGAAAAAAGCAAAATACTTAATTTTATATTTAAAATTCAAATTATTTTGTAATATTATTATTTGTTTTAAATATTGAAAAATATTATTGTTATAATATAATTTAATATGTAATGATATGTACATGTATGTAAAATGTTTAATTATTTGATTTATATTTGTTTAATATATTAAATATAATAAATTGTATATAATTAAATTCATTCTATAATTATCATAAAAATAATATTTAATTATTTGTCTTGCCTGGTATATGTATATATTTGTTTTGAATATTAATCATTAAAAAAAACGAAAACATTTTACATTTAAAATTCTAATTGCATATTAAATATATTATAAATATTATTATTTGTTTTAAATTTTTAAAATAAATATAGTTTTTTATATTAAATATAATAAATGATATAAAATTAAATTAAATCTATAATTATCATTTAAAAATAATATTTATATTACTGGTATATGTATATATTTGTTTTGAATATTAAACATTGAAAAAAATGAAAACATTTTACATTTAAAATTCTAATTACATATGAAATAGATTCTAATATTATACTTTTAAATGTATAAAACAAATAAATATAAGTGCTTAATTATTTATGTAATAATATAATTAGATATTAAATACATTTTAGTACTATTAATCAACATTTAATTGTGTGTTTTTTTGTGTGTGTATAAAGCTTCAGGTTGTGTTTATCAGTGGGGGACGGGCCTGTCGAGTCACGCTAAGAGAATGTTGAGTCCACAACCTGTTCCTGCTCATCTGTCCTCTAAAGAGCCCTGCCTTGTCCCAGGTAACACACACACACACATACACAGTTGCTCTTAAAGCTAAATGAGCCTCACAACACCTGATACACGAGATCTTACTCCTATTTAATTATTGTCTGTTAAATGATATATTTAATTAATTTATACCACTGTCTGATCTGCAGGGTTAGATCATGTGACCCCACAGAAGGTAGTTGCAGGCTCCACCCACTGCATTTGTTTGACAGGTGAGAGGATTTTTCAAACAAATCAAACTGATTTAGCCCTCTGATTAGTCAGGACAGAGATCGTAGAGTTCCACCAAAGCATTTGACTCCCATACCTCCACAGCGAAGGGTGACGTGTTCCTCTGGGGCAGCAATAAACACGGTCAGCTGGTCAGCGAGAGTCTCTTCCTGACACTTCCTGTGGCGCTGGATCGTTCTCTGCTGCGGGGCGAGAGAGTGACCACCGTTCACAGCGGCTGGACGCACCTCGTCACAAAAACAGGCGAGCCGCACTACACAAGTCTCACACAAATCTTTATTTTCTTGTGATATTGTTTTCAATATATGATCTGTTTACAGAGAGTGGGCGGGTCTTCACATGGGGCAGATCCAATTACGGACAGCTAGGACAGACCAATCAGGATACGGAAAAAAAAGAGCCTGACGATTCAACCAGCTCTGGGAAAACTATAAGCCGCCCCGTTGAGATTAAAGCTTTATTTGGAGCAACACAGGTATGTTGTCAGCCATATACTGTAAAGTAGCCATGATTTTACCACAAATAATAATTCAAAGTTAATTGACTACAACCCCCATTAACTGGGGGAAAATCACTGCACTGGTTTTCATGGCTTATTGTGAACTGGTAATAAATAAAGTAGGGGTGCACGATATATCGGCCACCATATCAGAATCGGCCGATATTTGCTAATTTTTGTTATCGTTATCGGGCCGATAATAAAATTTGACTGATATATTAAAGCTGATAAATTATGAATTGTTTCCTTCAACATTTGACACCTGAGACACTTAAGATGCACACTGTTCAACATGATTGATCTTAATTGCTTGAAATATGAGGCTTTCAAAAATTCTATAATAATTGGATTTAGATTTATCGGCTGATATATCGGTTATCGGCTTTCAAATATAAAAAATTATCGGCCATTTCCCTTTCTGCCACATACGAAAATCATGCTTTTGGTAAATCGTAATTTTGAGATGTGTAAATCGTAATTATGGCACAAAAAGTCATAATTATTAGATAAGTCAAAATGATGATTTCATCATAATTATAATAAAAAGAGGAAATTATGAGGGGAAAATTCAAAATTATGAGACAAGAAGTGGAAATTATGAGATCAAAATTGTGATATATTAACTCATATTTAGAGATAAAGTAAAAAAAATAGTCAAAATTTAAAATGTAAATTATGAGATAAATCAAAATTATGTCATATTATAAGATTAAAAAATATATATTATGAGAGTCAATATTATGAAATAAAAAATGTAATTATGAGATAAAAAGTTGTTATAATGAAAAGTAAAATTGATGGCAAACTAAATCATAATTATTAGATACAAAGTTGATATTATGATATACTAGTAAACCATATTATGAGATTAAAAATTGAAACAAAATATACATTATAATAATAATATTATAGTAAATTATAATATACATGGAATTATGAGATAAAAAGTCAAAATGATGGCATACTAAATTTTAATTATGAGATAAAAATGTTAAACTATGAGATCAAGACATAAATCAGAATTTTGATGTCATAATTTTAACTTTTGCTTCAATTTTGACTTGGTATATAACAATTTCGACTTTTTATCTAATAATTATGATTATGAATCATGTCAAAATTATGATTTACCAAAGCGTGATTTTTCTTCTGTTGTGGAAACACACTTGCGCTCATAGGCAAGAGAAAGCACTATGTATAGTCGTCCTGTAGGGGGCGAAAACACACTGTACATCCCCAGAGTTCTTCCTCACATCTGCCCAGAGACACACACTGATTTGATCTGAAGGTCATCACTTGTCTTACACCATAGAAAATGCAGCATCTGTGCGTGTATTATTGAAGAGAATGACTCGATGACAGTGTTTTATGCTCAATCTCAGGTTTTACGTGTATGATGAGTCACCGAACCTTGAAATTAAAGATCGGCCTTCAGATACTGTGAGCGAGAGAAAAGAGACATTTGGCATTTACATCTTTTTGCATTGGTTCTTCAAGTTCAAGAACAGGGACGTGTTGTCCAGACTGCGAAACATATTTCTCTCCTTGCGTGACTTTGCTTTGCACGCTCACCACTTTCTGCCAGGTCGATAGACCTCATGTCATTTTTAATCCTCAAAAGTTGCTTACGCTACAACGTCCTGCCATGTCGATGAGAGGAACTGAGGACGGGACAGGGGACGTTATCCTCTGTAAGGGTCTGGGGACACATTTAGCCTTCAGTGACTAACGGAGTATAAAGTTTTCCTGCTAAATTGTTTAGCTGAGGCTTAAAGGGATGGATCTGTTATCATTAAAGGGATAGTTCACTTTGAAATTAATTTTTGGTATGTTTTAGCTTACCTCAAGTGTCTTTGTTTCCGCAGTATTTTCAATTTTGATATTTTTAGGTCAAACCGTACTTGCCTGTCAGTCATATAATGGAGGTCTATGGTCACCACCTCAAAGAGCATGCACAGAGAAGTCCAAATTAAACATGATTTAATGACTCGTGAATGTAAGTACACATTGATGGCCTAAGACACGAAACGAGCGGTTTGTGTGAGAAAACGAACAGTATTTATATTGTTTTTACCTCTTGTTACCACAGCCACGTCCAACTGATCTGAGGGCGCGGGCGTTTTGTGGCTGTGGTTACAAGAGGTAAAAAATATGAATATGAATACCCGTGGCTCCTGGCGATTCATGGAGGTCTTATGAAGTGAATGAAACTACATTATTTACAGCATTATACCTGTAATCCACAGCCTCGGCGCGTTCACGGCAGTCTGGAGCGTGAGGTAATAATGCAGTAAATAATGTTCAGTTTCTTGCACAGACCGATCGTTTGGCTTTATAAGACCATCATCAGGAGTCACAGGTATTCATTTTGTTTTGCCTGTTTTTTTTTTTTGTGTGTTTTTTGACTCTCAAAGTGATGGCAGCCATTAACTCAACCTAAAAAAATAAGTGTGTAATGTTGGCATCGGACTCTGATGATGAATAACAAATAAACTTTTCATACAGTAGGCTACACTGTTACACTGTATGGTTAAAACCATAAATTGTAGTATGTTTTTTAGCACCAGTGACAGTCTATATTGTGTCTAAACTGTTGTTTAGACTTCAGATCAATTGTTTCCACCCCCAAAAGGCATAGTGGCCAATCAGGGAGGAGTTAGCATCCTCACTGGCTCCAGACTGTGAGATTTCCTATCAGTAGATGAAACATAATACTGTGTTCTATAAATGACGGCGTTCCTTCCTGGATACGGAGCTGAACTCCCAGTAATGGGTGGTGTAATTTCTTAATGAGTTTGTTCACACGTGAAGATGCAGCCGACAGTCAGTTTCACACATGCATCCAGAGCGCTGGAGTCCTGCGGTGTGTGTGTGTGTGTGTGTGTTCCCACAGTGAGGCTTCATCACAGTGCCTGAACATGTCTGTGTGGGACACCTCGCCCTGTTCTTCTTTATCAATGGCATGGGTACAACATATTATCTATGTTATATATGATATATAGGTTATTTTAAAATATAAAGTTTATATAGATTTAATAGTGTGTGTGTGTGTGTTTTAAAATAAAACTAAATATAATAAAGAAAATATAATATTAATAAAATATTAAAGAAATATTGATATTTCACTTTTATACTTTATAATATAATTTGGGCTATCAAACGATTAATCGTGATTAATCGCATCCAAAATAAAAGTTTGTGTTTACATAATATATTTGGCTGCACTGTGTATAATTATTTTGCATATATATAAATACACACACACATGCATGTATATTTAAGAAAAAAATATTTTTTATATGTAAAATATTTACATTTATATATAATATACCGGTAAATTATATATAAATCTATATACAGTATACATGAAAATATTTCTTAAATATATACAAGCGTGTGTGTGTGTGTGTGTATATATATATATATATATATATATATATATATATATATATATATAATTATACACAGTGCACTCAAATATATTATGTAAACACAAACTTTTATTTTGGATGCGATTAATCGTTTGACAGCCCTAAATATAATATACAGTCATATATGGTATTAAATAATTCATAATTAATTAAATGTGTATAAACTGTATTTACTTTACATTTATATTTTATGATATTAATTTTAAAGAAAATATAATTATATAAATTATTTATATATTGTATTAAATTATTAATGGATAATTACATAAAATATACTATTAATTATGTTACATAATATTAATTGTGTGTTTGTACTGTATTTTAAAATAATACAAAATAAAATTATATATATATATTACTAATATAATTAAAAGTTATATTATTTATTTTTATTTATTATTATTTATCATTCTAAGTGCAAAATATATTTATAGATAGATAGATATTTAGATTCTATATCAATATTTTTGGTTAATTTAATATTAAATATTTTTTATTTAATAATATTATTTGATGGGAATGAGATTTGGTTGGTCGCTACACATGTCAGTTCAAGAGTTCATTTCTTGGCCATCTGCGTGTTTTAGCGCTCGCTGCCAATGATCTGACAGCAGTTCTTAGTGGTTTGGACAGTCCCTGTCCTCTGTCTGAAAGCTGTTTTGACTGGCTGTGTGTTTGTGTGGAGTGGGGTCAGCTGGGGACGCTGGGTGGACGGGGTTGTTTTGTTGGTGATGGTGAGAGAAGCAGAATACATCAGGACAGATCATGGTTGTGGAGTCTGACAGGAGGCAAAGACGTCGCTTTGTTCTTTCACTGTCAGTTGACACAAAGTCCACAGCGGAGGCGAGCAGAACGTCCTTGTGCTTCACCCAGAACAGGCAACATTGCTATTTAATGCTATTTGTATATGAATTGTATTTATTATTTATTTAAATGACTATTACATTACCATCTCATATTTTTTATGCTTTCAGTATATCATTCACATATTTAGTTTATAACTATATATATATATATATATATATATATATATATATATATATATCTCCATTTGAAGCATTAATAAAATTGTTTCATTTAAGAAACATTCTAAAAAAAAATAACACATTTCAGAGTTAATTCTAAATTAAGATAATTATGTTTTGTTTCTAACTATATGTATGTCTAAATCTGTCTATTTAAACAATATTAAAAAGTTTATTAAAATGTTGTGTTCATATAACACATGATTACTTTACATAAAAAGGATTTAAAATAATCATAAAATTACAAAACAGATAGCAATAACAGCAAAGAATAGAGAACATGATTACATTTATTTCAAATTCTAACTTTTAATAATAAAAAAGGGTATATAAATAATATAAATACATAAAAATATGAAATCATTCTAAATAATACATGAAAATATTCTGTATATATTTCAGCATTTATAAATAAAAATATTTCAGTTGATTTTAAATTAAAATAATTATTTTTCATTTCTAACTATATGTATATCCATTTAAATCAGTACTCAAATTAATATAATGCTCAATTTAAGAAATATTCTGTAAATGATTCTAAATAAATAATTTCTAAATAAATAAATGGAAGTATTCTAACATGATACTGTGACGCTGTGCGGAGAAACAGAGCTGAGGCTGGGTCCAAACGCAGTGTAGCTTTATTAAAGAAACTTAAAACAAGACACTAGAAGCAAGAAACTTGAGAGCACCAACGCAACACACATAAATTCAACAACCAACAAAGACAGGGCAGAAACACAGGGCTTAAATAATCAATGACAAACGAGCTAGACAAGATAACAAGGGGGCGTGAGAAATGAGAAACACCTGGGATAAATAATGGACGGGCAATACCTAATAACGAAAACACACAAAATCACTACGTGACATAGCCTCCCCCCTATGGGCGGCTCCCGACGCCCATACAAAAAACAAACAGTTCAGGAGGGCGGTGAAGCGGAGACAGTCTTGGGGGAGGGACGGAGGGCCAGGCCCGTGCAGGGGAACAGGACCAGGAGGTAGCCAAGGCGGGCCTGGGCCGCAGAGCATGGGCCTACCAGACTGGGCCGGAGACCAAGGCGGAGCAGGACGTGGCAGAGGCCAGGGCGGAGCAGGACGTGGCAGAGGCCAGGGCGGAGCAGGACGTGGCAGAGGCCAGGGCGGAGCAGGACGTGGCAGAGGCCAGGGCGGAGCAGACACAGGCAAGGTCCATGACAGCCTCGCCTCCATGGCCCCCACAGAGTACCTACTGCCCCCCCCCAAAAATACTTGGGGAAATTCACGGGAGGAGCCTCTGGGTGGTAAACGGGTTCAGGAAAGGTCTCCCGGAGCTTGAAGGGCGCAGTCAAGGTGATGCGCAGAGGCGGGGCCGGCAGGGCGAGGCGCAGAGGCGGGGCCGGCAGGGCGAGGCGCAGAGGCGGGGCCGGCAGGGCGAGGCGCAGAGGCGGGGCGGCAGGGCGAGGCGCAGAGGCGGGGCCGGCAGGGCGAGGCGCAGAGGCGGGGCCGGCAGAGCGAGGAGTCTGGGCACGCTCACCGGGGCCTGGCGAACCAAACGAGTCCTCCTTCTCCTCCTCCTGCGGCGGCGCGTCACAGGGCTAGACACACTCGCTGGACTGGACAACTCACTCACTTGAAGAGGAGATGCAGCGCTCACTTGAAGAGGAGATTCAGCGCTCACTTGAAGAGGAGATTCAGCGCTCACTTGAAGAGGAGATTCAGCGCTCACTTGAAGAGGAGATTCAGCGCTCACTTGAAGAGGAGATTCAGCGCTCACTTGAAGAGGAGATTCAGCGCTCACTTGAAGAGGAGATGCAGCGCTCACTTGAAGAGGAGATGCAGCGCTCACTTGAAGAGGAGATGCAGCGCTCACTTGAAGAGGAGATTCAGCGCTCACTTGAAGAGGAGATTCAGTGCTCACTTGACTCGATTTGGACCTGGACACACTTGACTCACTTGATTTGGACCAGGACACACTTGACTCACTTGATTTGGACCAGGACACACTTGACTCACTTGATTTGGACCAGGACACACTTGACTCACTTGATTTGGACCTGGACACACTTGACTCACTTGATTTGGACCTGGACACACTTGACTCACTTGACTCGGCCGTTGACTCACTTGACTCGGCCGTTGACTCACTTGACTCGGCCGTTGACTCACTTGACTCGGCCGTTGACTCACTTGACTCGGCCGTTGACTCACTTGACTCGGCCGTTGACTCACTTGACTCGGCCGTTGACTCACTTGACTCGGCCGTTGACTCACTTGACTCGGCCGTTGACTCACTTGACTCGGCTGGCACGCGCTCAGTGGAAACTCTTGAGGCAGGAATGCAACGGAGCTCACGTGAATCGCGAGTTCGGCTGGGCTGACGTGAAGCGCGGGCTCGGCTGGGCTGACGTGAATCGCGGGCTCGTCAATGCGCACGTGAAGCGCGGGCTCATCGTGACTGACGTGAACCAGCGGTGAAGACGACGAGGCTTCGCGGGTAAAGTACACTCGGCAGGTGTCGAGTAGAATAAGCGCGCAGTAGTGAAGAGGTCCTGCAAGTAACGAGCCCGAGCGACATACCCGTCAAGAGTCCAGTTGGCAAGGTCCCGCGGCATCCATCGAGCGATCTCATAATCCAGCCCATTCAGAAACAGGCCCATGAGCTGGATATCATCTAGCGCTCCCAGACTGCTAATGGACAGGAACTCCTTCGCGTACCTTTGGACAGACTGGCCCTCTTGCAAGACCGACGACAGGTATTCTGTCATAGCCCGGTTGCTGACGACTGCTGGACCCATATTGAGGTTGGTTGTTCTGTGACGCTGTGCGGAGAAACAGAGCTGAGGCTGGGTCCAAACGCAGTGTAGCTTTATTAAAGAAACTTAAAACAAGACACTAGAAGCAAGAAACTTGAGAGCACCAACGCAACACACATAAATTCAACAACCAACAAAGACAGGGCAGAAACACAGGGCTTAAATAATCAATGACAAACGAGCTAGACAAGATAACAAGGGGGCGTGAGAAATGAGAAACACCTGGGATAAATAATGGACGGGCAATACCTAATAACGAAAACACACAAAATCACTACGTGACAGATACAATATATATAATATAAATTTTGAAACATTTATAGATTATTCTAAATTAATACAAATAATTACATATTCCATATATTATTACAAATGAATTATAGCAAATTAATAAATTGTTTTTCTCGTGCTTACAGCAGTTTTATGTCTTCCAAAGTCAAATACAGAAAGATTAGCTTTAGGTTTATATATATTTGATTGGTCGTTAAACAAAAGAAGTTTCAAGCTTCTTTAAGGCCACTAGCTCTGCTGCCATTTCCCATGATGCACCAGTATAATTTCCACTAATACGAGTGTGTTTGTGTGGACGGCATCCTCTCAGCTCCGGCAGACAGCATTAGCGATGTGTTTTTATCCACTAGCAGCCCATTTCCTCTGCGTAATGAGCTCTGATCACCAAACATTAATAAGCCAACCAGAGACGCCCGGTCACCCACTCACATCCTCACCGGTTGTCATGGTAATGGACATATGACTCCAGCATTGGGGCCGGTTGTGTGTTAATCACTCTCCTCGTACCTGCTTCCCAGTAGGGAATGTTCGATTCAGACATCCCGACTTTTGTTACATGTGATCCTATGTGTGACCTGAGTCAAACTCAGTTTGTCGTCTGTCAGCGGTTATTGTGTTTGGACTGTGAGCATGTAAGAGCATGTGATGAGTGTTTCTCACAAATTTCTCCCTGTTTTTTTTTTTTTTTGCAGATCGCTTGCGGATCTGAACACAACTTGGCTGTTGTGGGTGAGTACAGTGAGAAATTGAGGATTTGATTTGATTTCGTAAGCATGCATGACTCTTTGCACAGAATACTCTGGGATTATGTTAGGAATGTTTGCAGTATGTAGTCTCCATGGCAACACCTGTTGTCTTCATGGCCCATAACAGTCATTGGAAAGAAAGCCGCCAAGGCCTCCGTCACGCACTCTTAGACCTGAGTACCGAGAGTCAATCTTTGCCGCCCATCGGAGAAACAAACGTTATGAGATGTGCATGAGATGCACGGAGTCGGGGTTTTCTGTGAGCATTGTCGAGTGAATCTCTCAAAGAACATGTTCAGGTCATAGTTCACTCCCCCAAAAAAGCCGATTGAACCGATTAATCGTGATTAATCACGATTAATCGCATTTCCCATAAAGATGTCCTTTTGTAAAAATTAAGCCATTATTATCATGACAATAAAAAAACATTTCCCTCAAAATGTCTTAAGTGTAATGCATCTGAATGTTTTACTTTACTGATGTTTGTCATCATCCTTAATGATGTAATATTTATTTATTGCTCGATTTTGTATAAAATGAACCCATATTATCTTATATATTATTTTAAGCCATATATTATTTTATTGACAATCAATCACATTTCCCTTACATTCTTTTTACTGTAATGCATTTGAATGTTTTACTTTTGTGTTTGTCATAATCTTAAATTATCATATTTATTATCCTTTAATACAAATATTTTTAATAAAATTATTACATTTACATTTTACACATGCTTGAATATATTTAAGAAATATTTTTTTCTTAAATATACATGCATGTGTGTGTATTTATATATATATATATATATATATATATATATATATACAAAATAATTATACACAGTGCACCCACATATATTATGTAAACACAAACTTTTATTTTGGATGCGATTAATCACGATTAATCGTTTGACAGCCCTAAATATATATATATATATATATACACACATATATAGAGTATTCTTTATAGGTTTCCTGACTTGCATCAGATTCTCTCTTGCATTGAGGTTCATCACTTATACAGTTGCCATGGCAATCATTCTACAGTATCTTTAGGTGTGAAGTATCTTATTATGGGATGTGACTACTCTAACATTGAGCCGGGGGAGAAAAGAGACAGGATTAAAGGAGAGTAAGCCAGAGATTCCACTAAGCCTGATGGCCAGAATTAACTCTGGAACCAGCTCTGGCTTCTGTACTTTTGAGACTTCAGACAGTGTCTGGATTTCAGTAATAGGACATTTTCAGCACTACGTCTTTAGCATTAGTTAGAGATGAGTATCTGTTGCTGGAGTAATTAAGCCGCCGCTCCACGCTGTGATCTTTAGCATATCATAGCAGGATGCTGGGAATTAGTCCCTGTGCCTTTGTGCAAGGGCATCAGAGGGAAATGAGCAATCACTGAAAAGAATATGAAGGCAGTTTTAAATATAAGAGAAGCTATTTCTATTTCTTTTATTTGTTAATTCCCCAAAGTAACACCATTGACTAATTGCAGTTCATGCAGTGTTTAAAACTTATGCCTTCTTGCTGTCTTTGCCTCAAGTTACTGTAACATTACTCTGTTGTATTTTGTCCCAAAATCAAAAGGAAAGATGAAAAATAATATTTTGCATAAAACAACAATGCCTTCTTAGACCATTAAGACTTTTTTTGCATTATTATTATTATTATTATTACGAATTCTCATTACCAACATGCAGAAATATATATTTGTACATTGTAGTGCCCTCCCTGTCTAAGGGCAATGGTATCCTCTCTTAAATTTTTAGACCATTCTTTTGACTTAGCCATATTTTTAACATGCAGTCAAACGTGACACTCAACAAACCTAGCCAGTTCAGGTATGTCATGTGTTCTAGCTCAAGCACACCTGATGCAACTAATGAAGCCCTTGAGTCAACAGCTGTTGCAGATTGTGCTGTTGTGAGGGGGTTGAATCTTGCCAATAAAACTGATTTGCAATGGGGTTTGAATAATATCAATTACAATTATTTATTTATTATATTATTATTTTTCATAGTAATGGTAATACAGCATTTATTGTGGTTTCATTTGTATATATATAATTATTTAATGGTACATTTTATTTAAATTATGAAATATATTTAAATCTTTAAACTTTAAATGAGATTAAATGAGTTTAGGGACTGTGTGCATCATACACCACTGAGCAGTGGGCATGTTCAACCATCTTTTGTTTGAAACGAATCACACAGCCATGTCTTTTTTATTTCATTATTTCTCTTGTCTAGATTAGTATGCTGTCCTATATGTTTCTATGGTCTGTAAGTGTGTTGCTATGGGAACAGTTTAGCTGTGCATCTGTGACTGAACACTAGAGGAATACACATCATCCACACTCAAATACAATGATTTGGTAAACAAAACAAAAATCCTCATGTTTTTATGTTCACAATGTTATTGTCATGCACAAGTGTCCTACTTTTATTTTTTTATTTATAATTCTGCATAATTGTAGCCCGCTTATAGAGAAAAAAAGAATGAATTTCTAAAGACTTTAAAGTGTTACGGTGTATAGGGAAGTGTGGGGAGAGAGAAAAAAAGGGCGGGAGGGTGACAAAACGAGTTACCCTTGAGAAAGCATCCTCGCTCATGGTTGCCGTGGTGACGGGATCTGTTATGTAACCATGTTGCCGTGGCACGTGCTTCCATGGCGATGAGGGCTTGACCACACCCACCAGCTGGACGTGTTCAGTTAGACTGCAGGACGGTCTGAATGATTCACAGGTGTGATGTGTGCAAGAAACCTGCTTCATGGAGCTTTTTTTCATTCTGAATCATTTTAACATCCCAGTGACATTTCTTTTCTTACTTTTCATTATTAATTTTGTGAATGCTTTTACCAAAACTACTTAAACATTTCAGTATGTATGTTTGCTGTGAATCGAACCTTTGATGTTGCAAGCTTGATAGTCAGTCAATCTGTCTATATACCTGTCTGTCTATCTATATACCTGTCTATCTGTTTATCTGTCTGTCTATCTATCTATACACCTGTCTGTGTGTCTGCCTGTCTATCTGTCTATTATCTATACGCCTGTCTGTCTGTTTATCTGTGTGTCTATACACCTGTCTGTCTGTCTGTCTATCTATATACCTGTCTGTCTGTCTGCCTCTCTATACGCCTGTCTGTCTTTCTGTCTGTCTGTCTATCTATCTATACGGCTGTCTGTCTGTCTATCTATCTATATACTTGTCTGTCTGTCTGCCTCTCTATACGCCTGTCTGTTTTTCTGTCTGTCTATCTATACGCCTGTCTGTCGGCCTGTCTGTTTATCTATCTGTCTATTATCTATACGCCTGTCTGTCTGTTTATTTGTCTGTATATCTATTCGCCTGTTTATCTGTCTGTCTGTCTTTCTGTCTGTCTATCTATACACCTGTCTGTCTGTCTGCCTCTCTATATGCCTGTCTGTCTTTCTGTCTGTCTTTCTTTCTGCCCTGTCTGTCTGTTTATCTGTGTCGATCTATACGCCTGTCTGGCTGTTTATCTGTCTGTCTATCTATCTGTATACCTGTCTGTCTGCCTCTCTATATGCCTGTCTGTCTTTCTGTCAGTCTATCTATACGCCTGTCTGTCTGTTTATCTGTCTATATACCTGTCCGTCTATCTATCTATATACCTGTCTGTCTCTCTACCTCTCTATATGCCTGTCTGTCTTTCTGTCTGTCTATCTATACTCCTGTCTGTCTGTCTGCCTGTCTGTTTATCTATCTGTCTATTATCTATACGCCTGTCTGGCTGTTTATCTGTCTGTCTATCTATACACCTATCTGTTTATCTGTCTGTCTATACTGTATATACGCCCGTCTGTCTGTCTCTCTGCCTGCCTGTCTATGTGTATTTCTGTTTGTCTGTATATCTGCCTGCCTGTCTATCTATATGCTTGTCTTTCTGTCTGCCTTCCTATCTTGCCTGTCTTTAAGTCTATCTATTAGTCTATCTGCCTATCTGTCTATTTACATACCTGTCTGTCTGTCTATTTATCTATTGTTGTGAATCAAGTTGCAGCAACATTGTCATGGAATATATTTCACTGTCTCTCTTCAGGGGGTCGGATATTCTCCTGGGGCTGGAACGAACACGGAATGTGTGGAGACGGTTCCCTTTGTGACATCAGGCAACCACGGCCAGTCCCTGGTCTCGCAGACGCTACGGCTCTTCTGATTGGCTGTGGAGCAGGACATTCAATGGCACTATGCAGTTTGAAGAGCAACAAGGATTCTGCAAGCTGAACAGGTTTCAGCGTTTGTCTCTCTCTCCGTTTGCTTTCGTTACGTTTTAATGAATTATTCAGAAAGACATGTTTGAGCCTTTAAAGGACAAATTTATGATCAAAGTCTCAGAGATGCAAATACTACCTACGGATGATCACATTATGCTAATGACATCAGGAAATAAACAGGCACAAGAACACTAGGCCCAATCATGCAAATATTCATAGCTTAAAGGAGAGACCTTTGGTTTTGTTTTTAAAATTATAATGACATTCATATGGCTTTTTTTTCTCCAATTAAATACCCATAAAAGTAAATCTATATGCAATCACTGATGTATTTCGGCGTGTATATGCTGTCCTAGTGCCTTCACAACCATTCAGAAAGACTGAAATTCAATGAGGAGACAAATTCAATCAGACACTCATTTTCGTCATTTTTGTCATTCACGCTTCCTTTGCTGTGATCGACGGTCAAGGATCATTTCCTCTGACTTTTCACCCCAGGGACAGAGAAGACCTTTAAATAACCTTCACCGTAAATACACCGTAAAACCGATTTACTGCTAAGAAATGACCTGTCTGAAAACAATCAATCTCACAGAATACCCAACGATGGAGTAATAATCTACTAAAGACACTCAACAAAGCTTGAAAAACCCACACAACACACAAAATCTGTTTTAGTGTTTTTTATTATCATTGGGGTATTTTTTCTTGTTTAGTTTTTTTCTCTCTTCAGAAAGACACAAAATTGCCTTAACAATGTCAACTCAAACCATCAATGAAAACACCACCTGGTTTTAAATATCTATCCATACTATGCACTGCAGTGAGCTGAAAAACACAAGGAACGTCTCACAGCACAAACGTTTTTGCCTGGGAGTTTGCAAAACTATTCAGTCCCAATGACTGTACACATCTTGAGTTTTATTTATATGTATAATATATATATATTTATTACTCATTGATGTTTGTGCTCTGATGTTGTCGGGTCTTTAAACAGTCCAGCATATTGTAAGGAAACGACCCAATGTTGACATTCCTGTGATGCAACTGGCAGTGCGCTAGTTTGGTCCCAAAGAACTGGGTTTACTTCACATTTTCACAACAATGAAAAATAAACGTTGAAAAAATAAACATAACAGTATCGGTTCCTTTCATATTTTCCATCATAAACCCTGTATGTTCTTGTTCTCTATAAAGAGTCGTGTTGTTATACAGTGCAGGATTGTCTCTTGTGATGGTTTTTATGAAAACCGCTATAATAATGTGTCTTCCAAAATTGCTTGTATATTCACATTGAATTTTCAAATGCAAACTAAGCGTTTATTAAACATATTCCTCACAAAACTCAATGATGGTGTCATTCCTTCAAAAATTTTGAGTTTGGTCCCAGTGATGCGCTTACAAGCCTTGGTATTTCACCTTCAAATCCAACACCACATTCTAACCAGGCGCGACACTCCATTTTTTTTTTTTTTTTACGCTCAGTGAAAATGCTATGCAACACGCCAATCACAGCCACTGACAATGTATATTAAACATCAAATATGAGTGAAATTTTGGACCAATGCGATTCAATTCGGGGCGGAGCTTCCCAGCATGTTATGGTGCGTTCTATTATTCATCCGAATCGGACGACAGATGTTGCCTAGCAACACGCCAACTTTCCTCGGATTTCTCCTCTCGGACGTCGGACAACCGTGAGGACATTCATCCGTTTCGGAATTCAAGATGGCTGCGCCCTGTGACTTGTAAGAATGAATTGTTTTTGTTGTTTTTGAACCGCTTTGGTATTTTAAATGACGATTATAATCACTCGTATTACTGCGTCCGCTGTAGGTATGGGAATCGGTTGTTGTGAGTGCAATTACTAACGTTGCTAGCGTTGCTAACAGAAGATTAACATGAAAAACATTAAATAAAGTGAACATTTTTCAAGTTCCAATGGCTGCGTTTTGATAAGTTCTAGTCATAATATATATTTTTTAATGTAAGTGCCTGGTACTCGGGCAGTGCTACCATTATAACAGCTTTCCGGGTGGTGTCCATTTTTTTCTTCGACTTGGACACGCAAAATGTGACGTCAAATCCGAGGTCCGAGTCGGTTCGTTGGCTATAATAGAACGCACCATTAGGTTACGCAAAAGCCCTGAAAAGTGAAGCCAAAACATCTTGATCGCCCCCGGTGGCCGGTCCTAGTATAGGTCATAAACCCCGCCTCCCCATGTTATTCAACGGCACGCGAGACCAACTAAACAATTTAATTACACTTCAGATATCGTTTTTCCAAATATGGTTTCTGTCATTTTCTGTAGTTATCACGCTGATGTAATTTCAAGTGTTTGTTTTTAGTTAGTTATTTGATTGACAGCTGTGATTGACAGGTTCTCTGAGCGTAGTAGTCACTGAAGCAATAACACTTTGTTCGGGATCTTCAAGGACTGAGGAAATTGGGGCTTTAAATTTAATATCTAAATTTCTATAATTAATTTTAAAATAAGTGCATGAGCGTGTTCTTGCGATTGATTCTGCGAGAGTGAGGGCGGGGCCTTGATTTCGCGGCTCGCTATTGCGCATGTCTGGTACCGAAATCGCTTTTGCGCAGACTCAATTTCCAAGATGTCAGCGCCATATCAGGACACTCGCGGCTTCACTTCTGACCAATGGGAGAGAGCGAAGGGGCGTCATCCATCTTTTTTTAAAGTCTATGGTCACGCCTGATTAGGACACGGTGCATCTCGAAAGTGACCAGCCAAACATGTGAGCTACAAAATATATCAAATCCGTCGTTTGTTTTACAGAAAGGAATGTAAAAGTGAACGGTGCAAACAGTGCAAAAGGCATTTCTACATGGTAACTACAATTAGTACAAAATACAGGAAAACTATTGCTTTTTTTTCCTCCCTACTCACACATGATCACAGAGCACATGTTTTCACTGTTTTCTTTTTTCCCACTGAAATGATTAGCGACTGGAGTAACATTTTTACAACATTTAAACCACCAAAAACAAACACTTCAACAAGATAAAAGAAAGATTTACACAACACCAGCACATACAAGCACCATGTACAACACTGACACTCACGAACAGAAAAACAACAGGCATTTCGCACAGCACGACAAACCACAAACCAAACCGCGCTACAGTACATACGGCTGAACAACTAGCTTCTGTGCTACATCTACGCTGAATTATTCTGTCACACCTCAAAGAAAAGTGCTAATCTACAACAAACACACAGCACACGCTCTCTCTCACTCACTCACTCACGCACGCACACACGCGCAAAATACGGTACTATCAGGTGGGGGATGTGGCTTTATGGTTGACACACATAGTGGTTGGTACACCATGGTTCATTACACACACTGACTCGGTTGGTTGTCTGCTTCGGTTGGCACGCCGGGTCTCTAAAAAAACACAAAGAGAAAACAACAACAACAAACAACAAGGAAAATCATATTAATACACCAAACGGACGGCACAGAAACATGGGGGAGGGGGGGTGGGCGGATGGAGAAGGCTGGCGGGATTGTTGTCCCTCGAACCGTGCAAGCAAACAGTGCGACTATGACCTCCTTTACAGGCTCATGGTAAACTTGGGTTTTTACCATGCGCTCTCCCATGCTCCAAACTGCATTCATTCAGATCCAGTGTAAGTCTAAAGTTAATTGTTAAAGGAACAGTTCACCCAAAAATGAATATTTCCTGATTATTTTATCACCCCAGTGCCATCCAAGATGAGTATGACTTTCTATCCGCAGCCGAAGAGAAATGAAGGATTTGGGGGAAAACATTCCAGGATTTTTCTCCATCTAATGCCAGTGAATGATGCCCAAAAGAGACCATATTTGGCAGTTTAGCTTAAAAGTTCTCCACATGACAAATAAGGGCAAAATAATCAAATTATATACTTTTATCTACACATTTTCTGCCTTGGTCCAGCTCTGCGAAGTTGAAACGGTTGAGTTCACGACCTCTAGCACATTGGAAAGGTTACGCATGATGTAGGCGGCAAGAACCACACCATTGTTTACAAGAAGAGTTTACGTCAATGATACACACATAAACGCACCATTAACAGTAAACTGAGTAAAAAAAAAAAATCATAGAATGTTTTCCGCCAAAACCTCCAAAATTTCTCTTCGGCTGAGAAATATATCCATATACATCTTGGAAAAAATAAATTTTTAGGTGAGCTGTTCCTTTAATATGAATAACTCAGGTCATGCTGTGTTTGGGTTTGTACGCAGTGGGACGGTGTGACATGCTTGGTTAATGACTTGTTGCATGCTACCGGAGTGTGAAACAGGGCACGGTCACCGCTAGTCCTGCCTCGGCTCTCCTGTTTCAATCGCTTTACCGGGAGGTCACACACTTTCTCTTTGACCTTTCCCACCTTTCAGGATCCAAGTGTGCTTGTGCATCCTTTTAACAGAACTGAATTATGAGGTGCATAATTTTTAAATATGGACTGTAAAGTCCAAAAATAGCTGAGGGAAAAGCAGCTTGGTGATAAAGACGGGGTGAAAGATCAAAGAGACATCACAATACAGGCACATCTTATTGCCAAGCAACCGGGGAGTTATGTATGCATGTTCTGTCAAAGAAAACCAGAGTCTATATACAGATTGGATACAAAATTTATTTCATGCAAGGTTCATATTTACAGTTTTGTCATTCGCATATGTATTTTTGCATAAAAGTCCATGCATTTACCTCTCCCCAAGTAATCCCAAAGTACATCGATTATTTTCTTTTTAAAAGACGCTTTTTTTTCTGTTGACTGCACGATACATCAATATTATATATTTTCTGTGATTGCGTGTGATTTGCTACATTGTTAAATGTTTACAAATGTGATATACACATGTATTTACTCCATATTAATCACATTTGAAGCTGAATTTATGAAAAATATGGGTTTTGTGAAAATAAAGCTTCTTTATACAATAGCTGGTATTGTAATTGGAATTCTGCTATTTAAATTTGCCTGCTCTGGTTGAGAAAAAAATGAGTTAAAGTGCATCTTTTTCACTATTTGCATCTTAATACATTAGGCAAAAAGTCCGATGGTCAACTCGATTGCTGCTACTAACAGATAAAGGGTGTTTAAAACACACCAGCGATCATAGTTTGGGGAAAGGCAAAAAAAAGAAAATGTCAGGAAAAATAAAATGACAGTTGCTACATATATTGTATGTCATCATAAATGATATCATACTCTGCATCAGGTATATTTAAAGAAGCTTTGGGTGAAAAAAAAACATTTTTTCTTACATATTTTCAATATGCTTACATCGTTTTCTCAGATAGTTTCCCATGCAAAGCATGCAAATGCAAATGAAGTTTCTCCAGTCAACTTTTTTTTGGTGACGTGTGCAGAATCATGATTGTTTGGTGTTTCTTCAAACTAAGTTTATCTTATATATGAAAGAGCCATTGTCTCATCTGTTTTCCTTTTAAATGGTGTCCATAAGCACCTAATGAAAACCACAGCTTTAAACACTCAGGGTTTAGGAGAAAGGAGTGATGAAGGAGAGATAAGGAAAAATGAAAGTGCAGAAATTTGAAAGTGAGGAAAGAAATGAGACTGCAAAGAGAAGGGAAGGTAGATGACACCACTGCAAGAGTAGAGTAGAGTAGAGTAGAGAAGAGTACTGTAGAGTAGAGTAGAGAAGAGTACTCTACTGTAGAGTAGAGAAGAGTGCTCTACTCTACTGTAGAGAAGAGGAGTAGAGTAGAGTAGACTAGAGTTGAGAAGAGAAGAATACTCTTCTGTAGAGAAGAGAAGAGAACTCTACTGTAGAGAAGAGTAGAGTTGAGAAGAGTACTCTACTGTAGAGAAGAGTAGAGTAGAGCAGACTCTAGAGTAGAGTAGAGAAGAGTAGAGAAGAGTAGAGAAGAGAACTCTACTGTAGAGAAGAGTAGAGTAGAGAAGAGTACTCTACTGTAGAGAAGAGTTGAGAAGAGTACTCTACTGTAGAGAAGAGTAGAGTAGAGAAGAGTACTCTACTGTAGAGAAGAGTAGAGTAGAGAAGAGTAGAGAAGAGTACTCTACTGTAGAGAAGAGTAGAGTAGAGAAGAGTACTCTACTGTAGAGAAGAGTAGAGTAGAGAAGAGTAGAGAAGAGTACTCTACTGTAGAGAAGAGTAGAGTAGAGAAGAGTACTCTACTGTAGAGAAGAGTTGAGAAGAGTACTCTACTGTAGAGAAGAGTAGAGTAGAGCAGACTCTAGAGTAGAGTAGAGAAGAGTAGAGAAGAGTACTCTACTGTAGAGAAGAGTAGAGAAGAATACTCTACTGTAGAGTAGAGTAGACTCTAGAGTAGAGAAGAGTAGAGTAGAGTACTCAACAGTAGAGTAGAGTAGAGAAGAGTACTCTACTGTAGAGTAGAGTAGACTCTAGAGTGGAGTACAGTACTCTAGTGTAGAGTAGAGTAGAGTACTCTACTGTAGAGTAGAGTAGAGAAGAGTACTCTACTGTAGAGTAGAGTAGACTCTAGAGTGGAGTACAGTACTCTAGAGTAGAGTAGAGTACTCTACTGTAGAGTAGAGTAGACTCTAGAGTAGAGTACAGTACTCTACTGTAGAGTAGAGAAGAGTAGAGAAGAGTACTCTACTGTAGAGAAGAGTAGAGAAGAGTACTCTACTGTAGAGTAGAGTAGACTCTAGAGTAGAGTACAGTACTCTACTGTAGAGTAGAGTAGAGAAGAGAAGAGTTGAGTACTCTACTGTAGAGTAGAGTAGAGAATGGAGAAAAGAAGAGGAAGAAACAAGGATATACATGTGAAGGGAGGAGGAAGGAAGTAACAGAAGAAAGGCGGAAGGGAAGAGAAAATAAAGGAGATGGGTGATGGAGAAAAGCAGAAAGAACAGACAAGAGATGGGATGAGGAAAAGGGGGAGGAAGGGGAAGGAAAATAGTGGAAGGAGGAGGAAAACAAGAAAAAACCTTAGATAAGAGGAGAACAATGGAGAAGATAGAGGAGGAGGAAGGAGGGGTAATTAAGAAGATAAAGGAGAAGGCAAGAGCAGAGAAAGGAAAATGGAGGAATAGGATGGGAAATTGTGAAAGCGAAAACTAAAAAAGATTAGATAGGAGAAAGGAGAATATGGAGGTGGAGGAAGAAAAGACAATCAAGAAGAAGATAAAGGAGAAGAGCAGAAAGGGAGAGGAAGGTGAAGGACAGAGGATGAGGAAGGAAAAGAAAATAAGGAGTGGAAGACGAAGTGGGGAAGGAAGCAAAAGTAAAGGGAAGTTTCAAAATGGGGAGGAGAAAGAATAAGGGAAAGGAATAGGAAAACTGATAAAAGAAGGGGAAGCAGAAACAGAAGCAAAGATGGTGAAGATCAGGGATAAGAGAAAGTTTGAAATGAAGGAGAGTTTAATGAGAGACGGATGGATGGTACACAGTGTGAGCAGGCGTCCCAGCGCAGCACTGCGGAACGAGGGCCTCTGATTGGTTAGTTTTGTTGTCCATGCTACAGGATGGATGGGATGGGAGAGTGGACCTGCTGCATGAGACAGGACGGGCTGCAGGGCAGGGCCGACACTGAGGCCACGCCTCCAGACATGCTGCTGTGGCTCCATGGCTTTTCATAACCTTCATTTGAAGAGAAAAAGGGCTTTCAGTAAAACCTCAGAGCAGCCTTCAACTTTAGACAAAGACTCTCCTCCAAGGCTTGCTTGTGAATAAATATGATCATTGGACAGATAAGATGAGGTGCGTACTTGTATGTGGTGTTTGCACAGATTAGATTTGGTTACTGTTGCCCTGTCATGTACTTATGTTCATGATTAGCCAGTTGACATTGACTTGTTGCCAAGTCAACTGCATCATCCTCCATGCGTTCTATGCTTCGAACTGTCTACTGCATGCATGGAGTGGTTTCACAGTGCTTTACAGCACAACACAGGTTCAGAGAGACATCAAAGAACTCAGCCAGACACGTCAGCCCGACAAGCGACAACCAGACGTGTTTAACCGTTACAAGATAATGCTAGTTCTGTTAAATAAGGGGCAAACTACAAGGCTAACAGAAGTATTTCATTCGTTTCTTAATTCTTTCTTATCCTAAAGTATTGTTTAAAGGAGAACTCCGGTGCAAAATGAACCTGTGGTCTAATTACACATCTGTACCTAGTCGACCGTGCTCTGAGATTTGTTTTCATGATAATCGAATGTAAAGAGTTTTATCTCTAAAAACTGTTTAGCGCATACGCTAGTTTATGGGGGCATATAATAAGTAAAAAGAAATCGATAGTTAATACCACTAACAAGGCTCAAAATAGCCCCACACTCACACAGTAACATAAAACGAAGCATTGAGAAGTTTGTAAGTGTACAGACCGTTTAATAAGAAGATACTTTATGAAGACAGTTCACTTCGTGTATACAAACAGGAGTCATCTTAGAAAATAGTCTCGACTAGTCAAACCACGAACAAGGTGCTAAGTGAGCTGAACTGTATGAAGTTCAGCGAACTTCTGAACTGTATGAACGGCGTTCGTGGTTTGACTTGTCGAGACTTTTTTCCAAAGATGGCGCCGCCTGTATACACAAAGTGCACTGTCTTGATAAAATATCTTCTTATTAAACGGTCTGTACACTTACAAAGTTCTCAATGTTTCGTTTTGCATGTAGGGACCCTCATTATGTTACTGTGTTAGTGTGGGGCTATTTTGAGTCTTGTTAGTGGTATAAACTAGCGATTTCTTTTTACTTATTAAATGCCCCCATTACTAGCGTTATACGCTAAACAGTTTTTAGAGATAAAACTCTTTACATTCGATTATCATGAAAACAAATCTCAGAGAACGGTCGACTAGGTACCGATGTGTAATTAGACCACAGGTTCATTTTGCACCGGAGTTCTCCTTTAAGGTCTTACCTTAAAGAATTTGATTCTTAATAGCCCTGGCCAAGTCTTATCTTGACTACCCTGTTGAAAAGACCAGAATTGTTGTTTGTATTACGCATGCTAGTCCCAACAAAACTTCTTAACTAACCTACCTAGCAAGACTTCCTCAATCATCCAGCATCGAGGAGAAAGACCCAGCACCTAAAGCCAAGTTCACACTACAGGATTTTAAGCCCGATTTGCAAATCGTTGAGCTCACCGTCGGGTCAGGGTTTTATCGCATGCAAATCGCAGGGGATTAGCGGGCGATAAACGCTCGCCAATCTGTTAGTTTGAAAGAGCCAACAACGCATCAAAGACGCTCGCAGATGCGTCGCCGAGCCTAGAAAAATATCTAGCATGCTAGATATCTAGAGCTGTCGCACGACTCAACTTCAGTGATGTCATGAGCTATAGCCAATCAGAGCAAGGCATGGGTTGAGGTCACTGGATAAATCTTGTTTTTCCTTTCTTCAAATCATTGCGCAAACAATTTGCAGCAATAGTTTCTGTCTGAAGTCTATATTCGTGTGTTGCGTTCTTCGTCTTCTTCGCTGGGTATTGCCGCGCGTGCTGTTTCGCGTCATTTCCGGTTCGTTTTATCGTGTGATTTTTCGAAAACTAGGTTTGTAGACAAGATAGAATCGTTGGGTGACAGAGTTGTTGTCAACTCGTGCAGTGCGTTACCTCCTGTTGTGGATCAATCACATTGTGTCGTGTGGTGTGAACAGCTCAACAACTTGAACACTCCTGAATTCACAGAGAGCAAGTCATGTAGTGTTAACCGCACAGTTCAGCCCAACGTTTTAAAATCATGTAGTGTGAACTAGGCTTAACCAGCCTGGATGAGAACGGGAATTTATGTTGGTAACCTGGTCTTTTCAGTAGGGTATCATGGACTTGCTAATGGCTCCTGTTTGCTGTCATTTTTAGAAATTACGATCGAGAGCTTCTGACTGGCTGAGTTCTTGTTATGTGACCACATGCCCCATATCCCATGCTGCATCTCTTGTGAGATTCACCACCACCAGGACCACCCGCCATTGTGAATCTGCATGCAAACAAGCACACTGCTAGGCAATATACTGAAGCTTATTTCATTTACTGTACTAAACCATTTTTTCCCCCATCATTCACTTTTTCATTTAAAATTGGGCCCTTAAATAATGGTCCACTGAATCTGCCTGAAATACGTACACATATGACGTATGAACACAATAAGAAAAACTGGCACTGCATGTTCTTCTCAAAGATCTTGTTCTGACTGAGCTAAAAAATCAAGAGGCCCGTTGACGGCTCACTTGGATATGTTATTTCTGTCGCAGCTTTTCCTGTCAACCTTGGGGTAACGGCAGACCTGAGGAGCTATCAGACTGCGAGAAAGAAGGCTGAGTGACAGTCGGTCGATTTGCACCGAAAGAGCATCTTTGATTGACAGCTGCTCCACTTTAAGACACAGCCCTGGCAGTGCGCTGATGGGTAGCAGTGATTGGCTGGTTACGTACCCTTCCTGACTCTCCCCCCAGTGTGATTGGCCCGTTCTCCTCCGGAAGTGAGCAGGAAGCAGGGTCTCTCACGGTCCACGGGGCTGAAGACTTCCTCTGGCGACACCGCCTGGTCGATGTGAGGACAATCCTCATTGGCCAGGGCAGCTTTAGATGGCTCCCCGTTCACTTTAAAATCTCCAGTCACAGGCAAAGAGAGATGACTCATTACAGATTGATGCAATGTGACATGCAGGATTTATAACACGCCGATACATCCTGAAAGCCAAACCGCTCACAGAGTTCAGACCTGATGATGTTTAAATGACATTTCGGCCAGAAAGACTTATGCTTTTTCAACCATGCATGATTTTATACCTAATCAAATGGATATGATCCAGCATTTACAAACACTAGGAAACCATATTTACATGCAATATCATGACCTAGATCAGAGGTAATCAACCCTGCTCCTGGAGACCCATTGCCCTTCCGAGTTTAGCTACAACCGTAATCAAACACACTTGAACCAGCTAATCCTTTTCAGTATTATCTGAACATTGTTGGAGCAGGGTTGACATTTTAAATTCCGTCTAGAAGCATAAATAAATAATCCTGACCTAGATTTAAGAAATTTGACTTGTGTTGTATTGTATTACTGCATTAGAATATATCAAATTGGATGCCCGAAAGTAGAACTGGACTTGTCTCTCTAAAAATCTCTTCAGTCAACGGATCACTTCATAAAAGTGCATTGCGTCAAAAGTCATTTTTCAAACAATTTAGCGTCATTCACAAACCCTTTCCCCTCTACATCCTTAATAGATACCATGCCCTTTCATGTAAATGTACAGTACACAAACAAGAATAATAAATCTTAATCCCGTTTCTTGTTTAAAAACCTAACAGTAAGTAGAAGCATTATTCAGATGCATCCAACTCAATTGCAATTCCGTCTAGCTAAACATCCAGGGCTCAGCATATCAAAATCATTATCTTTTCAAGTAAAAGCCTTCCTCTAGTCTATGTAAACATAGAACTGAACTAAAACACTTTGTCTCCTTGTCCAAAAGTCCACAAGCAAAAACATGACCAACTACTGTACATTAACTCATCCGTGTTCACCAAACTGACTCATTAACTTGTTGCTAAGTAACAAGGAAGTACTAAAGAGATTGTTTGTATTGAGACACCAAGCCGAAGTCAAAGAACTAGCGGCGACAAAAGCCGTTTATGTTGTTGCCTCTCAACCAAAAGGCTGCGCTTGAACACACCAATTAGACTAAAAGCGACTGTCAGCTAGCATGTGTGTTCTGCGCCTGTGTGTAACTAAATATCTGTCTATTTCAGCAGGTATCAATAGTCTAAAATGAACCGTACTGAACCATAAACAAATCTGCGCTTGCTTACCATTTTGAATATCAACCACGCCACTTCCTTCGATCTAATTGTCTCATGTTATTATGACAATATTAAAATTTGAATGCTCAGTAAAGATGACGAAAAATTATAACAGCCATCTGTCTGTACCGTCTTGACTTCTTAGCTTGCTTTCATCACAACCAATCAGAGTTCTCTCTAATCAACATGCTGAATCAGCCCAAAGACCCCAGAGAGCGGCCAGAAATAGGTTATATAATGGTAAAACCTAATCAGTGACGCTCTAGGAAAACAAATTTATGATATGACTCCTTTAAGGTTAACAAACAGTAACACTGACAAATTTGACAGATTCTAAAATAGTAATTCCTACCTTGGTATCTGATCTCGGAAACCTCTTCCTGTGCCAGGGGGCATGCTTCGCTGTGCGTGCTGGGTCGTGGGGAGTTAATGGCTGACTTGCAGTAGTTAGGAGACCCCAGTTGAGGTGCCCGTGGGATATGCTTGTTTTTTTTCTTTGGTAGTTTTTGTTTCGCCATGGCTAGGGAGTAGTACATGCCGAAGTTGTTGACAATGACAGGTACAGGCATGGCAATCGTCAGTACACCTGAGAGGGCGCACAGCGCGCCCACCAGCATACCAGACGTCGTCTGAGGGTACATATCGCCATAGCCGAGGGTTGTCATTGTTACCACAGCCCACCAGAATCCAATGGGGATGTTCTTGAAGTGTGTGTCGTTACTAGCGTCGGGATCATTGGGGTTTCTTCCGATACGTTCAGCATAGTAGATCATAGTAGCAAAGATCAAGACTCCGAGTGCCAGGAAAATGATGAGGAGGATAAATTCATTGGTACTGGCGCGGAGTGTGTGCCCCAGTACCCGCAAACCCACAAAGTGTCGTGTCAACTTGAAGATACGGAGAATTCGAACGAATCGCACCACACGGAGGAAACCCAACACGTCTTTCGCTGCTTTGGAGGAGAGTCCGCTCAGCCCCACCTCAAGGTAGAAGGGGAGGATGGCCACAAAGTCAATGATGTTGAGGGTGTTTCTGACGAACTTTAATTTGTTAGGACAGGTAGTCACTCGGATCAGAAACTCAATAGTGAACCACACGACGCAGACACCCTCAACGTAGGTTAACTGCACCATGGTCTCCGTCTCAAGGATGACTTGCTCCCGAGTTTCATTGCCGACCGTGTAGATATAAGTGTGGTTGACGATGGGATTGAAGGCCTCATGAGTCTCCAAACAGAATGTGGTAATGGATAACAAAATGAAGAACAAAGATGCAAATGCTACCCACTGTGAGAAAAAAGAGAGAGGGAGACATTGTGTAAGACCTTAAAGAAATACTTGACAATTCTTTCAATATTTAATCATCCTAATGTCATTCCAAAGCTGTATGACTCTTTCATCCGTGGAACACAACAGGGGAAATTTTGGAGGAATGAACTGGTCTGTTGTCTAATGTCTATTCTGATAGCTTTGATAGAATATATGATACGTTGATGGTGCTTTCAACCTCATTCCCTTTTCATTGTAACTGCATGGATCAAAGAGCGATCAGTACAATACTTCAAAATCCTCCTTTAGTGTTCCACCAAAGAAAAAGGTTATACAGGAACAACGCTAGGGTGAGAATTAGCGCTTTTCCATTACCAGTACCAGCTCGGCTCGACTCGACTCAGCTCGCATTTCGCTCCGTTTCCTTTCAGACTGTACGCAACAAATAGCACCCTGTCGTCATAGCGACGCCTTTCGTTCCTCGTTGCCCTATCAAGCTCTCGCTGGATCCTCTCTTCGGCAACCAAACAAAGAAAGTC